TACCCTCCTGTACCAGCTCCTCACTTTGTGATTTCTTTCCTCTGCAGCTCTGCCAAGCCAAGGGCTTCATCTGTGAGTTCTGTCAGAATGAAGATGACATCATCTTTCCTTTTGAGCTCCATAAGTGCCGGACCTGTGAAGGTGAGGTTTGGAGCTAGGAGTGGGCATACAAGGCTGGACACAGTTAATTTACTACATAGGAACAACCTCTTTGGTTTAAGCCACACACTGGTGGCCCACCTGTAATCCTAGCTGCTCAGGAGACCTAGTAGCAAAGAAAGATTTTAGTTTTGAGGCCAGCCTGGGCAAAAATCTTTACAAGACCCTATCTGGAAAATAGTGAAAAAATCAAGTCTGGAGGTATAGCTCAAGTGATAGAGTGTCAGCCTAGCAAGCACAAGGCCCTGAGTTCAAATCCCTCTGCTACCAAAAAAAAATTTTGGTCTGATAGAGCCTCTCCCTGTGTTTCACCATGGAAAACACTGAGCCAAGGTAGTGAGTAGAGGCTGTAGCAGTGACTTGCGTCCGGCCTGAGAAAATAACAAATGATTTTCTTCTCTCTCTCACCTTTTTAACCTGAATAGAATGTAAAGCATGTTACCATAAAGCTTGTTTCAAGTCTGGAAGCTGTCCCCGGTGTGAGCGGCTGCAGGCCCGGAGGGAGTTACTGGCCAAGCAGAGCTTGGAATCCTACATGTCAGACTATGAGGAGGAACCCACCGAAGCCTTGGCCCTGGAAGCCACTGTTTTGGGGACCACCTGAAGAAAGCACAGCCGGCCGGCCTCTGTCTAGTGGCTAGGGGCACAACGATGCAGAACTGAGCCACCCTCTCAAGGACATTCCCCACTTGGGGATTTTTTTTATTATTATCATTCTTCTTATTTTTAATAATGTGTCTTACATCCAGGTAGAGTCAACCTTTGTTAGGTTGATGGGTCCAGTCTGTGTGACAGATATTTGCAGGCGCCCAGCATTTCCCATCAGAACTGACACACAGTCCCTAAGTGAAGCTTCAAGTGCCTCTGTCAGGGGAACAGACAGAGACTCAAGTCTTCTGACACTCATGGGCTTTTCCACCCCGACCACATCTGGTGGCAGCTGCATCTCCAGTATCATTTCCACTGTTGTTTTAGTTCTGGAGCTTCCCAGCCAGATTTTTCTTAACCAACCCGCTTCTCTTTTGCTGCTGCAGCAGGTGGATGGAGTTTGCTATCTCTCATCTCAGCCTGAAATAGGGTCAGACTTCCCTGAGGAGAAGCAGCAGCGGAAGGGGCTTCACTGTGGGCATTTTGTTGAGCTTGTTTAAAGATTGGGGCAAGGGTGGGGGGAACATAAAAGTGGAATATCATCAGAGACTTCAAGGAGACAGCCATGACTTCCCGATTTGAAATATTCTAGACACAGATGGAAGCACAGGCTATCCATATATGGTGAGCCTGAAGCAAAGAACAGAGCTAGGGCTCTGACCCACTTGTGACCGATGCTTGTGGGGCCAGACCTACTTGTAACCTATCCTGCATGCATAACTGAAGCTACAGCTTTTGCTTACGGAGATTTTATCCAGTCAGAGCAGCTGTTGGCCTTTTCTTGGGTGAATGGTCTATTGGTTAGTCTTGCTCTTGAGAATTGTCATTCAAACTCATCCTAAGGAGATAACAGAAACCCCATGTTCCATCTTATTAGTGGGGTGGTTACTGTTCTGTCCTGTGAAATGGCCATTATGGTCCTGAGTGAAGATATGGCCCTAGTCCATTCTCTGGCCCTTTCCTGCTCCTTCCTGTGTAGAGCTGGGGTCTTCCCTGCAGGCTGAGCTCTTGCCTTAGTTTCCTTTCTCAAAGTTGGGGAAAAACTTTCCTGCTCGTAGTAGTATTAGCGCATTTGACAGTTTGTGGATGCGAATGTGAATATTCCTGCTTTCTTGGGATAAAAAGAGCCTTTATGCCAATTATGCACTTAATTATTTAACCTGGTAATGTATGTTTAATTATCCCTTTCATATCGCTTTAACATATTTTTCCCTCATACTTTAATATAATTTTGATGGGAAAGTTCTTGTGATGTTCTTGAAGTTGCTAAAGGTCCTAACCTCTAAGTGAAACACTGGTCAGGATTGCTTTTCCAAAGACTGTACTAAAGCCCACATCATTTTACCAGAATTAATTTTTCTTTCTTAGACGTGTAGTTATTGGTAGTAGAAAAAAAATTGGCTTAGGCACTGTTCTAAGAAGCCAAATAGAAAGTTGTACCTGATTGGTGGAAGCAGATGAGTACCTGAGCTGGAGGTGATACTGGCTCTCGTAAGGAGGTAACAGCCAAAGCTATTACACAGCTGGAGCAAGAGGGAGCCCATAGGAGTTGGCCCACAATGTTGGTTCTGCCTCACATTTGGGATTTGATATCTCCATCCAGGCTGGAAGACTTGGTCTATTCTCCTTTCAGTTCATGGTGGAAGCCAAGGCCCAGCCCAGTTTTGAAGGGCTGACTAGAAGTTCCTTCATCCTTTCAAGGAGCTTTGGGAATGAACCTATAAAACTCAAGTCTCACTAAAGATATGCTTCAGATTCAGACTCAGGTTTGTTTATATATATATGGTGAGGTCTAGGGCTGGGTCATGGCTCTGGTGGCAAAAGTGTTTGCCTAATAAAGCCCTCAGTTCTAATTCTAGTACCACCAAAAAGGAAATGGTGAGCTTTAATTCCAGTTTTGGTTTAAACTTTGAGTCCAGCTCATCTAAATGGCTACACTGGAGGAGAGACATACTGTCTTGTTATCCTGCCTATTTCATACCAACATAGGATCAAAGCTGAACTCAACAATCTTCCATGTTCCTGGATTTTCACTCTCTCCCGCACCCCTCCCATCCTGCAGGTTGCATATATGTTACCGTCCCTGACACTATGCTGTCTTCACTGTTCACACCTCCATTTATTTATTTCTTAGGGAGTGGGGGAGAAAGGGAAGAGAGGGGAATGTTTTGAAAGCACTTTTTGCAACTTAACAGTATCTGAGACTCCTCTGCCGTTGAGGGGAGAAGCTTCTGGATGCACTGAAAAGAGTTCCTTCTAAGTGACAAGGAGGGAAGAAGTGTTTTGTTTTGTTTTTTCTGCACGTAAAGGGAAAGAAACCATTAGCTTACAAGGTGGAGACAAGATTCAAGACATTGCAGAAGAGTGGAAGACAAACATTTTCCACTTAAATGAGGCAGTCATTGACTTTCTCTGCCAAGTTTTTAGAGCTTTTATGGAATGAACGTAGAATGAGCAAGAGTCTACCTAGACAAGTTTCATGTGTGTAAACACCTGTTTTGAACTGGATTTCTACTTGCTGTAGTTGGTGCACAGTTCATGACCAGCTTGAATAAACTAAAGAAATTAAATCCTGCCTTCTGGTTACCTGCTTGATATTAATGAGAAGATGATATTGAGTGTGTGCTGTGAAGCAGGCCTGCCTGAAAATGCTGGAGATAACTGTGTGCTGTATGTTTTCCACATACAACTTTATACTTATTGCCCCATGATTGTAGAATGGCAGCCACAGCTCTGGACATCACATCTTGTTAACAGGTAGAAGGGGACATTGAGGTAGGAGGGAGGGTATGTGATAATGGGGTGTGATAATGAATACTTTGAAAATAGAATAATGAAAATTGTTTAAAAGCTGGATGCCAGGCAGGGCACCGGAGGCTCACACCTGTAATCCTAGCTACTTAGGAAGTTGAGATCTAAGGATCATGGTTCAAAGCCAGCCCGGGCAGAAAAGTCCATGAAACTCTTATCTCCAATAAACCATCAGAAAACTGGAAGTGGCGCTGTGGCTCAAGTGGTAGAATGCTTGCCTTGAGCTGAAGTGCTGAGGGACAGTGCCCAGGCTCACAGTTCAAGCCCCACAACCAACTAAAAAAAGAAAGAAAGAAAGAAAGTTCAATGCCAGTGGCTTGTGCCTGTAACTAGCTTCTTGAGAGGCTGAGATCTGAGGATTGGGATTTGAAGCCAGCCTGGGCAAGAAAGTTTGTGAGATTCTTATCTCCAATTAACCACCAAAAGAGCCAGAAATGGAGCTGTGCATAAGTAGTAGAGCACTAGCCCTAAGTACAAAAGCTCAGGGACAGTGCCCAGGCCCTGAGTTCAAGTCCTAAGAACATCACACATACATGCACACACACATACAAACACACTAATTGTTTTAAAAGTGGGGGGGGGGGATAAGATATATTTTATGCATGTGTGGAAATATCACAATAAAACCCCCTCTGTACAATTAATAGACAATAAAAAGGGAGAGAGCAAGCTCTCACTGGTTACCACGTGCAGATTTTGTTTCTTCAGCCTCTGGAGTGGGAGGTGACAGCACTGGTAAGTTGGTAGGTTGCTCATGGGTGTCTTTCAAAGCATATCCTCTGCCACATGTAAGGATTAATCAGGAACCTGGTTGGGTCCACCCAACTGAGCACCACTGGTGCCAGATCATAGGTGTTTTCCAAATGTGCAATGGAGTCAACTCTTTACATTTTCTTGTAGGAAACGAGAAAAAGATGTCTACTCCAGTAGCCTTTTCCTGTAGACAACTCAGACCATTGGAACCAAAATGCCCAGCTCATTCTCATGGCTGAAGGGCCTCTTATGAGTCTATCTGCATTCGCAGCAGAGGTGGGGGGCAAGGGGGGGTGGAGAGACACTCCAGGAGACCAGGATTCTTGCCTCAGCTCTGACACAACCAAGCTATGTGAAATCAGAGGGTCCCTAGTTATCCCTAGGTGTCAGGGTCTTCACCTATCAAATGGGAAGGTCAAAGTAGATCATCTCAAGGCTTTTGGAACATTGTCACTCAGCTGTTTCTGATTCATACCAGGAGATTTGAAAATTATCTGTTTGGGTAAGCTCTTCCAAGCAGCTGGGACACCTGTGCTACTGCTTTGGCACCCATCCCCTACAGTGACCATCCAGGTATGAGCTGGCTTCTCTGGGTAGATACCAGATGGGGAGGGTGAGGATTGAGCTAGAATTTCAATCCTTAAAGTACAGCATTCTGTCTCTGTCCAGCTTGCAGCCATGTGGCTGGCCCTTCTCCTCCTGCTGTGGCTGAGCCCTGTGACCCCAAAGCACAAGACAGGTGAGGAGCTGGTTTGGCATCTGTGATAGAGGTTAAAGGGATCTAGTCTCATTCATTCATTTATGGTTCTCTCTCTCTCGCTCTCTCTCTCCCTCTCTCCTTCTCTCTCCCTTGTGCCAGTACTAGGGCTGGAACTCACCCTTAGCTTTTGTGCTCAAGGCTGGTGCTCTACCACTTGAGCCACAGCTCCATTTCTAAGGGGGTTTTTTTGGTTATAGGCTTTGAACTCAGGGCCTGGCAATGTCCCTTAGCTCTTCAGCTCAAGGCTAGTGCTCTACCACTTGAGCCACAGTGCCACTTTCAGTTTTCTGGTGGTTTATTGGAGGTAAGAGTCTCACAGCCTTTGCTGCCCAGGCTAGCTTTGAACTGCAATCCTCAGATTTCAGCCTAGTGAGTAGCTAGGATTACAGGTGTGAGCCACTGGCACCCAGCTCATTTCAGAAGTTTTTTGGGAGGGTTAATTGGAGATAAGAGTCTCAAGGAATTTTCTTCCCAGGCTCAAATCATGATCCTTAGATCTTAGTCTTCTGAGTAAGTAATATTGCATGTGTGAGCCACCAACACCAGACCAGTGGATCTCTTGTTTGTGGTGGAATCTACCACTTTCTTAGGGCTAGCATTCCTGAATGGAGTAATTTCTTGTGTCAGACACTCACTAGGTACCTATGATGGCTGGTTATGGCTTCTCTGTGTTTCCACTTCAAGTGTGTAGGATGTTTTGGGTGACTGGATTGGGAGGTCTGTGTGGCCAGGGAAGCATTGTGATACAGCCTGTCCAGATGAGATTCTGATGTGTAGAGGTAGCATGGGGCTCTGGACTGTGCACTTGGTTGGGGTGGGGGTCAGGAGAGAAGATCAATGAGACAAGTCCTGACCCAGATTAAAAACAGAATGATTGGTCAATTGCCTGCCTAATGTACTAGGTTTGTTAAAACATCCCAGAAGCTACAATGGAAACTCAACAAAGGTGTTATTTACCAGAGAAAACTGGTAAGAAACAGGGAGAAAACTAGATGTTATTGGGGGTAAATTCTTCACTCTGAAGGGTTATTAAACCCTTTTGTTCCGAAGTTCTTGGAAGAACTTCAAGGGAATGGCTGGCCTTCTGTTTTGCTGAATGGGACTTGCAAATAGGGAGCTTGAGTAGGATTAGGATGATGGAGGACCAGAAGAGGCTGTCCAGAGCAGCAGAGGATGCGTTCTCACCCTTCTCTATGCTTACTTTCTCTAGGAAACTCCAAAACACATGTAAAGAATAGAGCTCTGGAGGGATCATTATTAGCCTTTGGTGCTTCATGCAGCCCTTTCCGAGCCTAGTCCTGGCCCCCTCTTGGCACTTATATTGATAATGACCATGGCTTCAGTGCATCCCTGAATTCATGGGTTGGAATTGAATCCCCATGCAGCAGTGGAAGATGGGGCCTTGGGGAATGGCGATTGCTCTGCCCTCAAGAGAGATGAATGTCACTGTCACTGAGTTGGGTTATTTATTGACCGAGAGGGATTCTTATAAAAGAGAATTTGCCACCAGTGGCTCACACCTATAATCCTAACTATTCAGGAGGCTGGGATTAGAGGATGATGGTTTGAAGCCAGCCTGGGCAGAAAAGTCTGGGAGACTCTTCCAGCAAAAAGCTGAAAATGGAGAGCTATGACTAAAGTGATAAGCTAATGCTCAAGGACAGAGCCCAAGTCCTGAGTTCAAGCCTGAAGACCAATATTAAAAAACATTAAAAAATGTGCTTTTATGCTGAGAACATGGCTTAATGGTATAGTGCTTGCCTAGCATGCATGACCCTAGGTTCGATTCCTCAGCACCACATAAACAGAAAAAGCCAGAAGTGGCACTGTGGCTCAAGTGCTAGAGAGCTAGCCTTGAGCAAAGAAGCTCAGGGACAGTGCCCAGGCCCTGAGTTCAAGCCCCAAGACTAGAAAAAAAAATATATATATATCCTTTTACCGTTGGCTTATTTGAATCAATGCTCTTGCTAAGCTTTTTTTTTTTCTTCACTTGGCTGGTGCTCTACCTCTTGAACCATACCTCCAGTTTCTTAGCTGCCATAGCCCTGAAGTATCTTTACATTTATAAATCATCTCAGCTCAGTTTTCCCATTTATCTTTTGAACGAACCAGGGAATTTATTCGGTAGCATAGCATACATTCTAGATCTGGCTGATTGAGTTCTTGAAGGGGTCCCATAACCCTGACAGTTCCTAAAATCTGGAAGTGAGGCTCAAACCACAATCACATTATTTCTTTGGCAAGTACTCCATAGATGGGGCTGCATGCTTCGAAGGAGATGCATGACACACAATGCCTAGTTTTCCCACTTTTACTGGTGGTTAACTTGATCATCCAGAGAGCAAGTTCCTTATAAATGTTCCCTGTCAACATTTTTTCTAATGATTTTAGCTCTCTTTGATAATTATTGCAAAAGATTTCCCCCCCATCACAGGTTGTCAAGTGGTGATTTTCTAGTTTTGTCATTCTGCCTGTCTATAGTTGTTTGTTTGATGGTTGGTTGGTTGGTTTAAAGTCAGGACCTTAGAGCTGGGAAGATTGCTCAGTGGTAGAGTGCTTGCCTTGCATGCATGAGGCCCTGGGTTTGATTCCTCAGCACCACATAAGCAGAAAAAGCCTGAAGTGGTGCTGTGGCTCAAGTGGTAGAGCACTAGCCTTGAGCTGAAGAGCTGAGGGACACTGCCCAGGCCCAGAGTTCAAGCCCCATGACCAACAACAAAAAAAAAAAGACAAAGAAAGTCAGGACCTTATACTTGCTAAGAGATTTGAGCCACAGCCCCTAGCCTTGTCAGCATTTATTAGCTGGAGTTCTATCAAGAAAAAAATTTTCTCGTCAGCTATATGGCTAGTATGGAAAGGCTGGACTTTTTTTTTTTTTTTTTTTTTTAAGCAGTCAATTGGAGGTAAGAGTCTCATGGATCTGTCTGACCTGGCTGGCTTTGAGCCATAATCCTCAAGTCTCAGCCTCCTGAGTAGCTAGGATGACAGGAGTGAACCACCACCTCTCAGCAAATTTTTTATTCTTTATTTAACACGTTCATAATAATGTTTCTTAATAATAATTTCTTAGCAGCCACGGTGTTGAAATATGGCCTTGAAATCAACAATGTTTTCAGCTAATGGATTTGGGAGAGCAGGACCTTCCAAGCAGAGGAAACAGCATAAGCCATAACTTGGAACAGGCACATGCAGGTTATTAAGAGGGTTTTGGTGTTTTGTTGTTCTTGTTGTTTTGGCCAGTCCTGGGGTTTAAACTCGGGGACTGGGCACTGTCCCTGAGCCTCTTTGTGTTCAAGGCTAATGCTTTGCCACTTGAGCCAGGCACTACTTCCATTTAGAGGTTTTTTTGAGTGAGCCCTTTGAGCATGGTGTGGTGGGAAAGCAAAGAGGAAGTCAGGTTTCTGCTCCTACTCCTGTCCCCATCCTGGCCTGAAGCATGACCTTGAGCAAATGCTCCTCCCTCATCTTCAAAATGAGAGCCTCTCTCCAGACTAGTGGCTTTCAAGTCTTTCTGGCCTCAACTCACATTCATGAATATGTTTAATGATATAACTCAATACACACAGCTATGTAGAGAAAACAAGTATTTCAAAAAGAACTTCAAACAACTTATTTTTTTTGCCATATATGATATAAACGAATCTATTTGATCTAATTCTATCCCATCTTATTTCACCCTATCCCATCCCATCTTATTAAAATGACCAATGAATTAATCTCTGCCTCACAAGTAGGCTGCAACCGTAGTTTGGTTAGTCCCTGGGACTCACTCTCTCGGATTGATGCTGGACCAGGCAATTGGGAAGAGGGAAGACATGAGAAGGCAAACAGATCATTTGTAGAAGGCTCCTGAGCTGAACAAGCAGAAGCCATGGCAAACTCAGAAGCCATCGCCCCGGTGCCAGTCATCCGTTCATCTGCACCTTGAGAGCCCCCCCCCCAGCATCTCCTCTCCCACAACACCTGCAAGGCCCTGTTTCCACAACAGTTTAGGTCAGCCTCACCCTGTCCCCATGTCCTCTCAGAGGCTGGCTCTCTGTTGATCCTGTCAACTTTGAAAACCCTTCAGTCAGGTTTATCCTTATACAAAGCCCTAGGCAGGTGTTAGCCTTACAGGAGACAGTTGGGAAGGAGAGGCTAGAGCAGAGGAAGAGAAGAAAAGAGAGTTGTGGGGGGTGAGACCAATACAAGACCCTTCCTACCAGAGACACAACCCCACTAGGAAACTGGTCCACAGTCTCTACCTGCCAGCCTTGCCTTTCCCATCTCTTACAGTTAGACCTTCATCTTGTATTAGATGGATAATAATCAGATAATTATTGAGTTGAGTAATCTGGAGAAGTGAGGAACAGAATTTAAAAATTTTTTTTGTGGAAGTGGCGATATGGCTCAAAATGGTAGAGCACTAGCCTTGAGTGAAAGAACTCACAGACAGTGCCCAGGTCCTGAGTTCAAGCCCCATGACGGACAAAACAAACAAACAAACAAAAAACAACTTTTTTGTGTGTATACTCATCTTGGGACTTGAACTCAAGCTCTGGGGTCTGGGCACTATCCCTGAGCTTTTTGCTTAAAACTAGCACTCTACCACTTGATCCATATTTTTGGTGCTTTATTGGAGATAAGATTCTCACAGACTTTTCCTGCCTAGGATGGCTCTGAATCATGAACCTCAAATCTAAGCCTCCTGAGTAGCTAGGTTTATATGTGTGAGCCACTGGCTCACAGGGGACTTTTATAATGGCGGTTTCTGTCTCTCAGCTCAAGGTGAGCACTCTACCACTTGATCTACAGCACCACTTCTGGTTTTCTGGTAGTTAACTGGAGATAAGAGTCTCACGAGTGGTGCTGTAGCTCAAGTGGTAGAGCGCTCGCCTTGAGCTGAAGAGCTGAGGGACAGCGCCCAGGCCCAGAGTTCAAGCCCCACAACCGACAAAAAAAAAAAAAAAGAGTCTCACGGACTTTCCTGCCCAGGCTGGCTTTGAACCACAATCTTCAGATTTCAGCCTACTGAGTAGCTAGGATTACGGCATGAGCCATTGGCGATGTACAAAGGAGTTACAGTTAGTTACATAAGTCAGGGAAAAAGTAGGTTTCTTTTTGGACAATGTCACCCCTTCCCTTGCTCTACATTTGTTGCTTTTAATGTCCCTTTTCTCCAGGAAGTTGTTCCCAACCTCAGTCTCTCTGCTGCCTTGGAACTGATCACCGCTGCAGGAGAGGAAGCTGCTACTGTGATGAATTCTGCCATGTGGTACCAGACTGCTGCCCAGACTACCGCTCCCTCTGCGACCCTGGTACCTTGCATCCAGGCTCATTTCCACCTATAGCAGAATGTATGCTGTGATTGACAGAGGAAAGTCCCTTTGCCTGGATATTAGGTCATGGCTGGGATGCAACCTAGATGGCACCTAAGATCCCTAGGCATCTCAAGTTCCTTGTATTTCTGTCAATTTCATGTCAAAAGTGCCTACACATTGCTCCCCGCTTTGTTTCTCCAGTGCTCCTTGGCACCTGCTGCTCCCCTTTGGACCTCTTTTCCAGGTGGCAAAGGGAGAAGCCAAGCTGTTGGTGGTGAAGATGAGGGTGGGAGGATGATGTGTTTGGGGTTCCTCCTTACTGCCCCACTTTCTCTTGGAGAATGCATGCCTCTTGGGGAGACAGGAGTCTGCAGACAGGTGCTGGGGGTGCTGGATAGCCATAGAAAGGGTGGGTGACAAGGACAGAAACTTTCAAGTCTGTGTTCCTCCCAGCTTCTCAAACTGCCAAGATGGTGCTACAGATGGTGCTGAGTATGAAGAGTCCACATGGCCCCCCCAGAAGCAATCTAGACTGGGTGAAGAATATGGTAAGTGCCATAAAGATGTCCTTCCCAGGGCCTTTCTAACCTCCAGATCCCAAAGGCAGGGAAGGGAACAAAGGATTCCTGAACTAGCACTCCATTGTAGTGATGGCTTTAACAGGGGAGAATCAGAATTTTTGTACATGGACATAGAAATTTGAATTTCACTTAATTTTCATCTGTCATGTACATTCTTTTTTTGATGTCCTCCAGCCCCACTATTTAAGAATGTGAAAAAGCAAACTAGGCATGTAGCTCATGCCTATAGTAATCCAGCTACTCAGGAGATTGAGGTCTGAGAATTGAAGCAATGCAGGCTGAGCAGACAAATTACAGAGATACTTACCTCCATTTAACCAGCAAAAAGCCAGAATTGCTGGGAGAGATTAAGGGAACAGAAGACACTGTATGAAAGGAAATGTACTCATTAACTGACTCATGTAATTGTAATCTCTCTGTATATCACTTCTATACTAACAATAAATTATTTTTTTTTAAGAAGCTAGGCCCGGCACTCATGGCTCACGCCTGTAATCCTAGTTTACTCAGTAGGCTGAGATCTGAGAATTGCACTTCAAAACCAGCCTGGGTAAGAAAGTCTGTGAGACTCTTATCTCCAGTTAACCACCAGAAAACTGGAAGTGGCGCTGTGGCTCAAACTAGTAGAGCACTAGCCTTGAGCTAAAGAGCTGAGGGACAGTGCCCAGGCCCAGAGTTCAAGCTCCATGACCGACAAAAAAAAAAAAGAACTGGAAACAGGTGTGGCTCAAGTGGAAGAGCACCAGCAAGTGAAAGGAAAAAACTGAGTAAGACTGTGAGGCTCTGAGTTCAAGCCCAATATTGGCACAAAGAAAAAAAGAATGTAGAAAGCATTCTCACCTTTCTGTGCTAAAACAATAGGCCAAAATTGACCCATGGATTATACTTTGCTAACCTCTACCCTAAATCCTCTTCTGGTCTCTTCTTCCCCCTGTGTCCCAGCTCCAGCCCTGACCTGTCTAGTATGCTCAGCCCAGCTCTGGAGGAGAAGGCACAGCTTGGCTCTTTATAGTTTGCATAGAAAGGAAGTCAGCACAGTGCAATGGAAAGGAAAGGGACACATGGGGTCAGAGAGACCTGGCTTCAAGTCCCAGCACCATTGTTTGCTACCTAGAGGACCACAAGTAACTTCCTTATCTTTTCTGAGCTTCTGTGTCTTAGAACTTTCCATCTAGGGCTTGTGGTCAGAATTAATTGAGGTCAACTCTAGAAGAACGTGGCTCTTGTATAAAACAGATGGCCCTATTTGGGACCTAGGTCCTTGATTCCTGTCATTTAGGTTCATCAGCTTCTCCAAACCAGCCCTGTGGGAAGGCCATTGTCCATGGCTGTGAAAGGAATTAAGAAGAGAGCCTGACTCCTCTCCAAGGCTGTTCTTCCATCCATCCTACTCCCGTGATCTGCCCTGGAGCACACGTCACCTGACCTTACCTGGGCCTTCCTGGGCCAGGACAGAGGGGACTGAGTGTTTGTCCTCAGCTGCCGTTTTGTATACTTCCTTGTTGGTTTATACAATGGAAAACTGAAATTGTTGCGAACACATCTAAATGTGCTTAGAAGCAGCCATATAAATTCTGAGACATACATTTGATTTATGGTATTATTTATTGTGTTGTGATGATTACAATTCAGCATTCTTCTTTGTCCTTTCTTTTTGCTTTTAGGGTACTGGGGGTTTATCTTAAGGTTTTTTTCCCCCTTGTTAGTCCAGTGCTCAACCACTTGAGCTACACTTCCATCACTTTTTTTTTTTTTTTTTTGGGTCTGGTCGTGGGGCCTGAACTCTGGGCCTGGGCGCTGTCCCTCAGCTCTTTAGCTCAAGGCTAGCGCTCTACCACTTGAGCCACAGCGCCACTTCCGGCTTTTTTCTTTTTGCTTATGTGGTGTTGAGGAATCGAACCCAGAGCCTTGAGCATGCAAGGCAAGCGCTCTACCACTGAGCCACCTTCCCAGCCTCTCCATCACTTTTTAATATAGATTTTTTCTCAGATAAGATTACCCCCCCCACACACACACACACATACTTTCCCTAGCTGGCCCAATCCCTTGCTCTAGGTCTTCATTAATCTGAACACCGGGTAAGCAATTACAGCAAGGAGCACTATGAGCATGGATTCCAGCTCTGGACTAATGGATTTATCTTGGCTTCATTTCTCTTAATAATATTTAGGAACATAATCCCAGAGATCAGAGGTTAGGAAAAGGGAAGTGAGACAGGAATGAAGGCAGAGCCAGTATAAACATGTGTTATCCATTTGGCTGCTGGCACGGCTGACTGATTGCTTGGTCTTGCGGGTTCTTCTAAGATGCCCTTGGAAATGTTTATGATTGCTGTCTTGTCCTGCAGACAGATCTATCTGCCAGCTCCACGGGGTCCTAGAGAAATATACCTAAAACAATCACAAAAATGGTCACAGTAGTTTTATTTAGAAGAGAGAAAACTGGAATTAATCCAATGTCTATCAGTAGAAAATGGATCCCCTAAAATGTGGTGTAGTTAGAGAAAACTACTCAGCATCCCCAAAGGGTGAAGAAAGTAGGGCACTCACTGGTGGCTCACGTCTGTATTCCTAGCAACTTCAGAAGGCTGAGATCTGAAGATCATGGTTTAAAGCCAGCCTGGGCAGAAAAGTTCATGAGACTCTTATCTCCAATTAATCAGCAAAAGAAAAACCCTCCAGAAGGAGAAGTGTGGCTCAAGCGATAGAGTGCCAGCTATGGGTAAAAAAGCGAAGAAGGTGAAGTCCTTGGGCTGGGAATGTAGCTTAGTTGTAGAGTGCTTGGTCAGCGTGCAGGAAACCCTGGATTTGATTCCTCAGTACTACATAAACAAAAAAAGCTGGAAGTAAGGCTGTGGCTCAAGTGATAGAGTGCTAGCCTTGAGCAAAAGAAGCTCAGGGACTGTGCCCAGGCCCTGAGTTCAAGCCCCAGGACTGGTTAAAAAAAAAAGAATGAGTTCAAGCCCCAATACCAGCATCCACACCAACACATACCTACCTATCCACCCTCTCAACAGATTAAAAATGTAATACAGAGCAACACAGATGAGCCTCATAAATACAAAGTTAACAGAATGAAGCTAGATAAGAAAGAGAATATATAAATGATCTCATTTATATGAAGTTCAGAAATAGAGTTCATTAATGGCAGCAGAGAAGGGTGGGTATATGGGGACGTACTGGCTGGATGAGATACAGTGGGTTACTTATTCATGTCTGTGACCAATATACTTGAGAGAACAACTTAAAGGAAGAAGGATTTATTCTGGCCCATCGCGTCAGAGGGTTCAGGCCATAGTATCTTGGTCCTGTGGACTTGGGCTTTTTTCCAAGCATTATAGTGGATGCATATGAAGGAGGAGGCTATTGATCACACTGTAGATACAGAGCCAGAGAGAAGCAGAGAGAGGAGAATAAGTCTCAGGACTTCCTCCAGCTAGGCTCCACCTGCTAAAGTTTCCAGAACTTCCCAAAATAATGCCAGCAGTTAAGGACCAAGTATTCAACACATGAGCTCTGTGGGGAGAAATTTCATACCCAAATCATAACATCCCATTCCAGCCCTCAAAGGGCTTGTTTCCATCTCATAACACAAAATACCTGATCTGAGGATCATGGTTCAAAGCCAGCCTGGGCAAAAAGTTCATGAGACTTATCTTCAATTAACCAGCAAAAAAAAAAAACAAAACCAAAAAACTCCAGAAGTGGAAGTGTGGCTTAAGTGATAGAGTGCTAGCTGGGGGTGAAAAAGCAAAGCAAGAATGTGAGGTCCTGGGGCTGGGCATGTGGCTTAGTTGTAGAGTGCTTGCCTAGAGTGCATGAAACCCTGGGTTCGATTCCTCAGTACCACATACACAGAAAAAGCTGGAAGTAGGGCTGTGGCTGTTACACTCTTGCCTAACAGTTCCTGCATTGTCCAAAAGCCCAAGTTCAAAGACTTCTCTGAGACTCAAGACAACTCTTAGCTATGAATCCCTGTGCAAAAGCAAAAAACAAGCTATATCTAACATATCCAACATTCCCATTCTAAAGGGAGGACTTGGGGGCATAGAAAAAGGCTTTCCTCCCAACAACTCAGAACAGTTTGGTGATCTAGCACAATGGTCAGCCAATTTATGACCTTGGATTGATTCCAAGGGCATATTACAAAGTTAACTCTTCTCACAGGCCTTGAGCAGTCCAGTGCTCTGGGCTGCACTTGAGTGCCTTGTCCTGAGTGAGAGTCATCCCACCATTATGCTCAGGTTTCATAGGTGATGGGAGGCTGAAGAGACCCTGGAAGGAGAGGGAGATCTTTGGCCAATGACACCTGGAATGGTGAGGAGGCTGAAAAGTGTGTGGTTATTCTGGGCTCTTCACTTTCTTTGACATGTCACATGGGTGTAGATGGAAACCGCCCAAGGCTCTCCTTTCAAATTGCATTATGAATTAGAATCTCATTGCTACTCCATCTGATGGGGGTCAGAGCCACCCCCCTAACCTAAATTAGGGCAAAAGCTTTCTTATTTCCTGTTTCTATGTTGAGTTGATTGTGTGCGTGCGTGCGTGTGTGTGTGCGCGCGCGTGTGTGGGCACGTGTACTCACGCACCAATCCTGAGGCTTGAACTTGAGGCCTGAGCACTGTCCCTGAGCTTTTTTGCTCAAGGCTAGTGCTCTATTACTTTGAGCCAGAGCTCAACGTCCAGCTTTTTTGGAGATAAGAGTTTCATCATGAACCTTCGTGTCTGGGCTGGCTTGGAACCATGATCCTCAGATCATGAGTAACTACTCAGCCTCAAGTAGTTAGTGTTACAGGCATAAGCCACTAGTATCCAGCTTCTATCCTATTCTTAACATAACTTCTAGGGTGAACCCTCTAAAAACCTGTTAGGCTCCCCCTCACTCTTCACTCAAAACCCTCCATGGGCACCTCCCACTGAGGTAATTGTGTTGGACCAAGCTCCTGTACTAGGTGCAGCCCACTCCTGACTGAGGCCAAAATGGAGTCACTAGGCTTGAGTTCTTCTTTACCACCTGGAAACTAAATTGATATTTGACTTCCTGACAAATCAGGAAAGGGAGACAATAGCCAGACTTCCCATACAGGTGGGTTCCAGTGGATATGATATGATATTAACCCATCAGCCATTTCTCCAGGGTCTGTTTCCCTGTTGCTACCTTACAAGAAGAGCAAGGTTGAAGTATCTGATCCTCTTTTTTTTTTTTTTTTCTTGCAAGGCTGAGAATTGAGCCTAGGGCTATGCCCTTCTGAAGCAAGAGCTTCTATCACTGAGCTACACCCCAACCCCACCCCACCCCCAGTTCCTGTTCTGTTCTTCTTTTGTTTTTTTCTTTTGTGCCAGTACTGAGATCTAAACTCCAGGCCTTGTGGTCTCATTTGGATTTTTTCCACATTCGAACATTGGAGCCACATTTTCACTTTCAGTTTTTCCTGGTTTATTGGGATATAAGAGTCTTGAGGATTTGTCTGCCTTATCTGGCTTTAAACTGTGATCCTGAGATCTCAGCCTCCTGAGTGCTACTATTATAGGCACACTAGTTCTAGAAACAAAGCCACTTAAGCTCTAAACTCAACTATACTTTCTCTAAAAGCCCACAAGTCCTTGAGCATCTGTCCCACCTCCAACTCTTACCTCTCCTATGGATCCAGCCTCACTGCCTCTTAGATGTTTGCTGAATTTGCTGCTGCTTTAGGCTTTTCTAGACTCTTCTCTAGCAGGTTCCACTGCCTGAGACGCTGTTCCCCAGGCAACTATCTTCACCATCTTTCCACCTTGCTATAATGCTATAATATTTTAACTTAACTCCTCTTCCCAGTCTTTCTCGTAGAACTCACCCTTATTTGTGCAATTGTTTACATATGCACTTATTTATCTATGCACCTGTTTATTTATTTATTTATTTTTTTGGTTGGTCGTGGGGCTTGAACTCTGGGCCTGGGTGTTGTCCCTCAGCTCTTCAGCTCAAGGCGAGCGCTCTACCACTTGAGCTACAGCGCCACTTCCGGTTTTCTGGTAGTTTATTGGAGATAGGAGTCTCACAGTCTCTCCTGCCCGGGCTGGCTTTGAACCGCGATCCTCAGATCTCAGCCTCCTGAGTAGCTAGGATTACAGGCGTGAGCCACCAGCACTCGGCTATGCACCTGTTTATTATGTCTACAGTTTGTGGTCTCTTTGACAGGAAGTTACTTTCATGAGAACAAGAATCTACTCTATTCAAGCGACTTATTCCAAGTGCCTGGAACAGTGTAGAAGGCTGCTCATCCATGTGAAAAGGGATTGGCTGAAGAAATGGTTCAAGAACTTTCTGGAAGCTGAGTACCGGTGGCTCATGCCTGTAATCCTAGCTACTCAAGAGGCTGAGATCTGAGGATCATAGTTCAAAGTCAGCCCGGGCAAGAAAGTCTCTGAGACTCTTATCTCCAACTAACCACCAGAAAACCGGAAGTGGTGCTGTGGCTCAAGTGGTAGAGCTCTAGCCTTTAGCTGAAGAGCTGAGGGACAGTGCCCAGGCCCAGAGTTCAAGACCCACGACCGACAAAAAAAAAGAAAAAAAAGAACTTTCTGGATACACTTGTGGTGGCCTCCAAGACCAACAGCCACCAGCCAGCTTGGAAATACCCAACAACTTCTAGAAGCTCATCTACTTTCTTCTCACTGAGGCTGGAGCAAGGCTTTTGATCATATCTGTGATGAAAGATAAAAGGAAAAGGAAATGGAGTGTCCCTGGTCAGGGTAAAAAAGGCACCTGAATGCCCATCAGTAGATTAAGTTTTGATCTAGGGACGCACCTGGTCCTGGAATGAGGAAGCCCCTCCCACAACCTCCCTGGGTGGGGCAGGAGACCGAGGGAGGTGGCTGAGGAGCTGCATTCTTGCTGGGTTTCCCCTTACCATCTCTTAGGGTGAGCTTTGCATGAATCAGAAGCTGAGTCTCACAAAATCCAGGTCACTGTGGTGGCCCAGCCTTGAAACCTTCCAGGGGAGTCCATTTCCATGCTCCCTCCTCTTTTTCCTGGGCTTGAACTCAGGGCCTGGGCACTGTTCTTTATCTCTCTCTCTTTTTTTTTTTTTTTTTTTGCTCAAGGCTGGTGCTCTACCACTTGAGTTACATCTTCACTTTTAGCTTTTTGCTGTTTAATTGGAGATAGAAGTCTCATGGACTTTGCTGCCCAGTGTGGCTTTGAACCGCCATCCTTAGATCTCAGCCCTCCTGCATAGCTAGGATTATAAATGTGAGCCACTACTGCCTCGCTCTGCCACTTGAGCCATACTCTAGTCTTTCTCTCCATTGCTTGAGGATTCAAGTAGATATCTGCTCTTTCATTGAGCACCTGAGAAGGTGTGTGTGTGTGTGTGTGTGTGTGTGTGAGAGAGAGAGAGAGAGAGAGAGAGAGAGAGAGAGAGAGTATATGTGTGCTGTGCCTTGAACCCAGAGCCTTTTGCTTGTTTAGCTTGCTTCCTCACAGCTAGCACTCTACAACTCTACCATTCCTTCACAATGACTTTTTGCTTGTTAATTGGAGATAGAGTCTTTTGGATTTTTCTGCTCAGCCTTCAAACTATAATTCTCCAATCTCAGCCTTCTGACTAGCTGTGATTACAGGCATGGGCCATGGGCACCCAGCTGGTGTATACGCTTTTGAAGAGTAATGTAAGGGTCTCTTAGGAGACTCTTGGTCTCTTCCTTGACCAAGCAAGGAAACTGAGTTAGGAATTTAACCTCTTACTGGGAACTGAGGAATGCAATAACCAGAAACCGCCATTATAAAAGTCCCCTGTGAGCCGGTGGCTCACACCTGTAATCCTAGCTACTCAGGAGGCTGAGATCTGAGGATCATGGTTCAAAGCCAGTCTGGGCAGAAAAGTCCGTGAGACTAGAAAACTGGGTGGCGCTGTGGCTCAAGTGGTAGAGCACTTGTCTTGAGCTGAAGAGTGCAGAGACAGCACCCAAGCCCAGAGTTCAAGCTCCACTACCAAACGGAAAAAAAAAAAGTTGATGTTATCCTATTACTGGAATTTTGCAGCTTGCACCTGCTTGCAGTTTTTGCCTTCGTAAGCCTAGCTTGTGTCCATGTTCAGGGTTACAGCGTTAGCTACCGAGTCTGCACTGTGTCCCTGATTGGTCAGCTTCTGCAACACTTCAATAAACTTCTTCAAACTCTAAGTCCATATTGGTGGACTCATTCTTGGACCCTGTAACGGTACCAACTGTGGAGCAAGAACCTTGTACAAGCTTTACTGTATTGTTCTTCACAATAACAGCCTACTGAGGTAGACATTATGTCCACTTTATAGATCAGGAAGTTGAGGTTCAGAAACCTAGAGCTAACAAGGTCTTGGATCAGGAATGAAACCCAAGAAGGTTCATGGAGCCCAAGCCCAGCCTGTCATAGCCTCCCTGCAGCAGGACTACAGGGGTGAATAGCAACATGGAAATGATTCTGGAGGTTCAAATCAGCCTTCAGAGGAGAGATCACTGAGCAAGGGGGCACAGGAAGGTTGGTTTGTGGACAGCTTTGACCTGCTCTCTCTCACCCTGTACATTTGTGTTCACTTGGCTGCACCCTGGAAACTACCCAGGCAGTCAACACCTGGGCAGATGGCCTGCCCCTCCTCCGTGGGTTGAGGAACCAGGAAAAGGTTGTGGTGAGAGGCAGAGAGCTGGTCTGCTGGGCAGTGAGTGGTGGCCAAGTACACAGCTAGGATGGGCTCTGTCTGGGGCCTGGCTCTGCTCCTTCTTTTCTTCTGCTGGGAGGCTGGGGGCTCACAGAGCTCTGCAGGTAAGAGGCTTTCTCTCTGGGAGAGCTCTGGGTATGAATTTAGCATAGGCAACCCTTCATGGGTGAGGATAGGCTCTTTCATGGATCATATTTAACCCCAGTTTAAATGTGAAGTAGGATTATCATTGGGAATAAGTATACAACTAGTAGTATGTGCCAGTTTCAGCATGCATGACACTGCAGCTCAAATTCTGAGAGTCTCTATGACTGTTATCTCTGGCAGTGTAAGTGGGGTGAGAAGACTTAAAGAAGGTTGTAGCTGGTGAGAATTCTGCCTACAGCTGACGAATGCAGCATAACAAGATTCTGAGTCTTCCAGCTTCTTTGCCTAGCACAGATTTCATTCCAAATATGGCTTTTGTGTGAATTCTTCTATAAACTCTTTGGACTGGGAAGAATATGAGAGAGACAGGGAGGGCTTTAATCTGTCACTAACAACAACTGTGCCAAACTCATTATCATCACACAAATTTTCTTTCTGACAGTGCTGGAGTTTAAATTCTGGGCCTCATGCTTGCTAGACAGGGCCTCTACCACTTGAGCCATGCCCTCAGCCATTTTGGCTTTAGCTCTTTTTTTCAAATAGGGTCTCATGTTATTATGCCCAGGCCAGCCTTGGTATCAATCCTTCTATTTATACTTCCTGAGTAGCTGGTGGTGACAGGTGTACTTCACTAGGCTCAGCTTGTTAGTTGAGATGTCTCCCTATTTTTTTTTAAATCTAGACTGGCCTTGAGCATCCATCTTTCTAATCTCTGCCACCTGAGTCGATGGAATTACAGGCGTGAGCCACTGTACCTGGCTAAAAAACTATTTTAAAGATTAATTTTAGAGTCAGATAAAATGGAGCAGAGTGTACAGGGAGTATCCACATCTCTACCACATACATATCACCTCCTCATTACCCATGCTCACCACCAGAGTGGTACATTGAGTACACCCAGTGATCCCACCCCCATAACATATCACCACAGATTCTCCCTTTCAAGCTCTCTTTCTCTCAATTTCTCTCTCAACTATCCCCCATCTCTCTCATTTTCTGCCAGTACCAGGGTTTGAACTCAGGGCCTTGTACTTGCTCAAGTTGCCTGCTCAACTGGCTCTCTACCACTTGAGGCATACCTCCAACCTAGCTTTTTGCCTGTTCATTGGAGATGAAGTCTCTAGGATTTTTTTTGCCCTGGCTTTAAACCTTGACTGTTAGAATCTCAGCCTCTTGAGTAGCTAGGATTTCAAGAGTCACATCTAGCTACCAGACTTTTTTTTTTTTTTTTTGCCAGACTTGGGGCATGAACTCAGGGCCTGAGCACTGTCCCTGAACTTCTTTTGCTCAAGGCTACCACTCTACCACTTGAGCCACAGCTCCACTTCCAGCTTTTTCTGTGTATGTGGTACTGAGGAATGGAATCCAGGGCTTCATGCCATGCTCACAAGCACTCTACAACGAAGCCACGTTCCCAGCCCCAAATTCTCTTTTTAATCCTCACTACAGCCCTATGCCTCCAGGCATATATACTTACCTATAAGATAGATATTAATCTTATTGCCGCCTCCACCCCTCTAAAAGTAAAGAGGCTGGAGTTTAGGAGATTAAGTAAGTTGTTCACAGAGCCAGCACTGGCTACGCCGTCTCCTGCATGAACTCACAATGGACTGGGCTCGTGTTGTGTTTTTCATTCCAGCTCATTTAATCCAAATGTCTCCATGAAATAGGTTCTCTGAGCTCCATTTTACAAACAAGAGTATTCAGCTTGCAGTCCTGGTTAGGTTACCCAGTTGGTATGCAGCAGAGCAAGGAGCAGAGAGGGAACACAGATCCGGCCCCAAAGTCCACAACCTTCTCTCCAGGCAGCTTGTAGGATCCCAGCAGGAGCGGCAATGTTCTGGAGCTGAGGGAGAGGTGGTTTGAACTAGGAGCTTGGAGAAACAGCTCAGGTTTAGAAGTGGGAAAGCAGCTCCTGTAGAACTGTGTGCATAATTGTGCTACACCAGACAGGAATGAGGACATGGACCCCTGGCTCACCCCATGGGTGCCTGCAAAGCCCATTGCCTTACTGTAGTTAGTGTGCTAACTTGACTTGAGGAGTCAGTGGGGGAGATGCTACATAACCTTCCTAGGCTTCGGCATATCAGCGTTCAGTCTCAGTCCGTTCCTCCTTTGGTTCTCATGGTGTTGGCAGGGTGAGTATTCTAACTGGCCTCTCCACGTGACATGTGGAGGCTGGGAAAGATCAAGAGGGTCCTCTACACGAGTGGACAGCAGACGGGGGACTGCCACCTGGTCTCTTGTCTCCTGCTCATATACTCGGTGAGGTCCACAGAAGAATGACTAGGGCCCTAGGGCCCTGTTCTGACCTCCTAGGTGGAGACCCTAGGCTTCTTTTGGGTCCTTGGGCTATGGAGGTACCAGTGGATGTCAGCAAAGGCCACTTTAAACTCTCAGAATGTCAAAGAAAGAAAGAAAGGAAAGAAAGAAAGAAAGAAAGAAAGAAAGGAAGGAGGGAGGGAGGGAGGGAGGGAGGAAGGAAGGAAATGGTTCATATTTTGATCTTTTTCTCTTTTTATTTTTATTTTATTTTTTGTCGGCCATGGGGCTTGAACTCTGGGTTGGGTGCTGTCCCTCACTCAGCTCTTCAGCTCAAGGTAAGCGCTCTACTACTTGAGCCACAGCACCACTTCCAGTTTTCTGGTGGTTAATTGGAGATAAGAGGAGATAAGAGTCTCACAGATTTTCCTGCCTGGGCTGGAAAATGAACCATGATTCTCAGATCTTAGCCTCCTGAGTAGCTAGGATTACAGGCGAAAGCCACCCATGCCTGGTTTGTTTTTTATTTATTTATTTATTTTTATTTTATGGTCTTGGGGCCTGAACTCTGAGCCTGGGCGTTGTCCCTCAGCATTTCAGCTCAAGGTGAGGGCTTGGGCCACAACAACACTTCCAGCTTTTTCTGCTTATGAGGTGCTGAAGAATCAAACCCAGGGCTTCATGCATACAAGGCAAGCACTCTACCACTGAGCCACCTTCCCAGCCTCAAGGCTTTGAGCGCAGGGCCTTGTCCTTTCACTTGGCTTTTCCACTCAAGGCTGAGTTCTACCACTTGATCCACATCCCCACTTCCTGACCCCCCCCTTTTCCTTCTACGAGCATGGCTCCCAGATAAAACACAAGGCATACCCTTCAGTTTCAATTTGGAGTAATAATATTTTTTGTATATGTCTCAAATATTATAGGAGAAACACTCCTACTAAAATCAGTGCTTGATATATGAGATGATTCCATCTCATTATCAAGTATCATATATCTGAAATACAGATATAAATTTAACTGAGTATGTTGTGTTTTTACTTGCCAGATCTGGCACACCTCAGCACTATGGCTCAAGTGGTAGCCTTGAGCTGAAGAGCTGAGGGACAGCACCCAGGCCCAGAGTTTAGGCGCCACAACCGGACCCCCCCCCCAAAAAAAAAACACACAAGACCCTCTCCTAAAAATAGAACCAAAAGGACTGGAGCTGTGGCTCAAGTGGTAAAGCATGAGCAAGCACAAGATCCTGAGTTAAAACCTTAGTACTGCCAAAAAGAAAAAAATATAATAGGGACTGGAAATGTGGCTTAGTGGTAGAGTGCTTGCCTAGCATGCATGAAGCCCTGGGTTCGATTCCTCAGTACCACATAAACAGAAAAAGCTGGAAGTGGTGCTGTGGCTTGTGAGAGAGTGCTAGCCTTGAGCACAGTCAGGAACAGTGCCCAGGCCCTGAGCTCAAGCTCCAGGACTGAAAAAAAAGAAAAAAGAAAAATATAATAAAGATGAAACTAAAGATCTTCTTAAATTAAAAAAAATGTTTCCATGGGAAGTGTTTATTATATGAGGAGAGTTTCTTGAGAGTGACAAGAATCATTTCATAAAGTTCTGATAGTTCTGCTTTCTGTTCTGCAATTCTTACATCCCTTGGATCTTTCTTTCTTTCTTTCTTCTTTCTTTCTGAAATCCTGGGGCTATCTGGTTTCAAGTGGGTTGTCAAAGTTTTAGAAGACCCCAGTCAGGGCAACCCTAGCTCCATGGCTAACACCCAGGACTGTATTCTTCCTAACAGTGAACTTTCCCCTCCCTCCTACCCATAATGCTCAGGGCATAAATACAAGGGTCACTCTACTGGCTCATTAAGTTTGTCTTTACCCAACACAGGCCCTAGCACCCGTGGATCAATCCCTTTGGTGACAACAAATAATACAGAAGTGACTGCCATGACTCAAGGTTTCCAGACAAGTTCAGAGAGAGCCTTCCGCACCACTGACCTTCATGAGCTCTTCATGAGCTATGTTTCTTTGCAAACTCAAACCCTGAGCTCTCCAACCATTTCTAAGACTTTAATCACAACAAATAATAGATCAGAAGCCAAGAGCATGGAGACCAGGACCATTTCCCCCTCAGCAGGGGTCAAAGAGACCCCCACCATTTCACCCCTACAACAGAACAGGACCCTCTCAAAGATTATGGCTCCTACAACTATGGCTGTGATGACCACTTCTAAGGAGACTCTGGACCCACGTGGCAGCCCCACAGGGCGTGGAACACACCCTGGGACTGGTACAAACAGAGATCCCACGCAAGCCATCTTTGCTAACCCTTGTAGCTCTGACAGCTCTGAAGAGGCAAACTGGATCAAAGGTGACATCTCAACAAGGGCAGACACACCGACAGAAGCTCAGAGCCTGTCCTCAGAGAGCAGCTCCTCTTCTGACAGCTCAGTGTCTGTCCTCAGCCCTTCACAGGATCTGGCACCTGGGATCTTGACTCAAGCCAAGGCCTTAGCTGCCTACAGGATCACCCACATCGAGTTTAGCAATTGTAGCATCACCAAAATAGAGACAGCTGCTATCATCTCTGAGACCTCAGACACAGGCCCCAGGCCCACAGAGGGAGAGATGGCCTTGTCCACAACACAGTCACCAGCTTTGCCCCTCTCTCCCGAGGCAAAACCATACATCCCCAACACCACAGCCTTTGTCCAGGCCTTGTCATCAGCCAGCACCTCAGCAGCGGCTGTCCTGGATGCAGCCACGGTCTCTAACCCCAGGGGAACTTGGGTGACAGTCACCAGGAAGCCTTTGGAAGAAACGTCGGTGCTGTCCTTTGAGACATCAAGCCACACTGAGGTCCCAGGAGCACTTCCAGTCTCCAAGGCGGCTGGATCAACAGGGGCCAAGGGGCCTTCCTTTGCTGTTTCCTCAGCTTCAGTCTACAGCCCTTCAGACCAAGCCACTACCAAGGACTCCAGCCCTTCAGAGACGTGGAGCACAGCCAGTGCAGCCAACAAGGCCTTCCCCACTAGCAGAAACTCTCCTTCTTCTGTCCATCCAGCTACAGCCAGCACCAGCTCTCTTCCTTCTGTCCATCCAGCTACAACTGCCAGCAGCCAAACACCAAGTCTGACATCAGAGGGAGCCTTCCATGAGTCCTTGGTGCCAAGCTGGGATCCTTTCCACGCCCAAACCCCGAGCACTGCCACCACTCCTAAGACCATAATCACAGCAGGCAGTGTATCAGAAGTGGACAGCCGGGAGTCGCACACCACATCCCCCACACCAGGAACCACGGAGACCCCCACCAATTCCCCTGCAGTGGAGACCTTGGGGACTCTGGCTACATCCCCTGAAGCAGAGACCCAAGTCAGCTCCTCCACATCAGAAACCACGGAGACCCCCCACATTTCCCCTGCAGCGGAGACTTTGGGAACCCTGACCATTTCCCCTGACACAGAGACTTTGAGGACCCAGTCCACTCTCTCTTCTACAACAGAGATCATGGAAACCCCAACCATATCCACAGTAACAGAGCCCACGGAGACCCTGAGCACTTACCCTGTAGTAGAGACCAAGGAGATCGGGACTGTTTCTTCTGTACTAGGACTTGAGGGGACCCTGACCATTGCCCCTGCAGCAGAGACCATGGAGACCCCAACAAGTTTTTCTGCTGCAACACAGACAACGGAGACCCCAACAAGCTTCCCTGTAGCAATGGTGGAGACTCATTTCACAAATACCATATCTCCCACCATTACCCCACCACACCCCAGCGGACCTGGAACATGCTCATTTGTCGCAGACACAACTGCTATCCAGAACTCCAGCCCCTCAGAGTCTTCTACCACAGACAGTATAACCAATGGGTCCTTTCCCACCCACAGAAGCCTTCTCCCTTCTATCCATCCTACTACAGCCAGTGGGAGCCCTCTCCCTTCTGACCACCTGATTACAGCCACCAGCAGTCAAGAAACACTCACCACCTTTGTCAAGACCACAGCCTCACCAATGACCCCAACGAGGCCCCTGACATCAACACCTGCCACTTTTTGGTCAAGGCAGACCATAGGAGTTACGGCAGGTAAATGATTCCCCGTGTCTGATCTTTGGGTATTTCGCTCTGTTTTAGTCATTCATCAGACATCTGCAGATCCAAGTGAAGAATCAGTGATTTCAGCAAACATGGCCTTCTAGTGTCTGAAAAGTAATCTGGGTCACCCTTACCACAACCCACACGTCACACGTGTCACTTTCGTCCAAGCCAGTGGAAGCCTAATAGACATTGCTCAATGGCATGACCTCCCAAGGTGATTTTTTTCTCTTTTTCTTTTCTTTTCTTTCCTCCCCCACCCCCACCAGGGATCAAACTTGTGGTTCTTTGCTTTCTCAGCTTGTTTGCTTGACTGGTGCTCTACTACTGGAGCCATACCTCCAGTATGGCTTTTGCTAGTTATTTAGTCCAGTCTGGCTTTGAACTACACTCCTCTGGATATCAGTTGCAGGGGGAAGGAAAGGAAAGGTTTTTATTCATTTCATTGAATTTTAAGTTCATATTTGTGACTTTTCCCCTCTGATTTTATTTGCTTGGCATTTTATTTATTTTTTTATTGTACTAAGAACACTTACCCTGGAATGTACCCTCCTGGTAGATCCTTTTTGCTAGTATTGGGGCTTGAACTTAGAGCCTGGGCATTATGTCCCTTAGCTTTTTCTTTTTCTTTTTTTTTTGTTTTTTTGGGTCCGGTCATGGGGCCTGAACTCTGGGCCTGGGTGCTGTCTCTCAGCTCTTCAGCTCAAGGCTAGCACTCTACCACTTGAGCCACAGCACCACTTTCGGATTTTTTTTTCTTATGTGGTGCTGAGGAATCGAATCCAGGGTCTCAGGCTCTCTACCACTGAGCCACCTTCCCAGCTCCTCCCTTAGCTTTTTCGTTCAAGGATAATGCTCTACCACTTGAGTCACAGCTTGCTCCACTTCTGGCATTTTTGGTGCTTCATTAGAGCTAAGAGTCAGGGACTTTCCTACCAATCTTCAGATTTCAGTCTCCCAAGTAGCTAGGATTCCAAATGTGAGCCACTGACACCCAGCATCTCTTCCTGGATTTTTAAGCACACATGCAGTATTGTTATCTATAGGCACTATAGATAACTGATCTTACAAAACTAAACATTTACCCTCACTGATGAGAAATTCCCCATTCCTATTTAGGTGGACTACAGGTTGTTTCTGGTATTTTTTTCCCCCATGCAGCTACTTGGGTGGGAACTCAAGTCCTATTCTCTTTCTCAACTTTTTCACTTGCGGATGGCTCCTCTGTGACTTGAGCCATGCCTCCATTTCCGGCTTTCTGCAATCAATTTCAGATAAAGTGTTTTGCAAATTTGTTTTCTTGGGCTGGGTTCAAACCTCAAGCCTTAGATCTCAGCCTCCTGAGTAGTATCTGAGTAGTATTTGTTTTTTTAACAACAAGCACTGCAGTAAATAGTGCTCTTCTCGTGTGTGTGTGCTACTTTTTGTAGGGTAAAGTTCTAGAAGTGCAATTATGAGAGCAATTCTCATAGTTTGTAATAGAACAAAGCAACTATAAAGTGGCAGTTAAAGGTTGGCGGATTAGGGCTCAACAAAAGAAGCTTCTGGAAAAGCTGGTAAACTAGGAAGGCTGAATTTTATCTCTTCACCTACTACCAACATAGAACTTGGGGCATTCCTACAGGGAGCCAACCTCTACCCAACACTCTAGGACCTCCAGATTTTAAGAACATTCTATTCTTTGTTTTTTTTTTGGGGGGGGGGTCCGGTCGTGGGGCCTGAACTCTGGGCCTGGGCGCTGTCCCTCAGCTCTTCAGCTCAAGGCTAGCGCTCTACCACTTGAACCACAGTGCCACTTCCTGCTTTTTTCTTTTTGCTTATGTGGTGCTGAGGAATCAAATCCAGGGCCTCAGGCATGCAAGGCAAGTGCTCTACGAGCCACCTTCCCAGCCCCTTTAAGAACATTCTAGATGCACTTCCATTTTCTATTCCTTACACTTCCTGTCTTTCACTGTGGTTGGGAGGTTGGAAAGGAATCCTCTGTTCTCCTCCAGGTGAACAAAAGTAACATCTGGTGTGAACAGAGGCACGTTTACACATGGGAGTGCACACAGTGTGTGGAGGGGGCTGAGGCTAGAACTGACTCAAACATATTTCCATCCTCTGTTCTCAACTTGCAGGTGGAGATGGAGGCTTCCTCCTTGTGCGACTGGGCGTGGCCTCCCCAGAAGACCTCACTGAGCCCGGCGTGGCAGAGAAGCTGATGGAACAGGTGAGCAGGGGACCCTTTCCAAGCCAGGGAGGACGAAAGTGGGAGGTTCTCGGGGACCACGGTCAGCAACAATAATGAACATTCCCCTCCAGTTTTAAGGTCTTAGGAAATATAGGCATTCTAACCCCCAAGGAGTCAATGATATTGACCAGAAGGTAAGCAAGACTTGGTTGCAAGTGGCAAAAATCAATCAGAGTAGTTTACATGGAAAAGGCAGGGTCTGGCTTTCAGCTTCAGTTATGGCTGGATCCAGCAGCTCATGGGGGTTTTCTCATTCTCTTTCAATTCGGCTCCCTTCATTCTTTATGGTCTTCTCTGTATGTATGGAAGGGTGGCTTTGACAGCCCTAGGTTCCCTGGATACTTTATTCCCTATAGTTATGCATATCATCCAGAGAAGGCCTGCAGCAAGCTCCTGAGACTGGCAGCCTGGTCAGCTGGGCTGAGACAGGGAAGATCAGGCTCCAGGTAGAAACAAAACAAAACCCACAGCTCTGTGCTGTGGCTGGGATATAGTTGATTAACAATTTTGGGGAAATTCTCAAACTCAGATTTATGGGCAGTGGTGAAATTCTAGACTCAGGGCATTGGAGATGGTGTGATGGTGATAGAAAGTCAGTCAAGATCAGCTGAGTGCAGATTTCACAAAGTAAGAGATGGAGCTGGGCGCCGGTGGCTCACGCCTATAATTTTAGCTACAAAGGAGGCTGAGATCTGAGGATCATGGTTCAAAGCCAGCCCAGGCAACAAAGTCCGTGAGACGCTTATCTCCAATTAACCACCAGAAAACCACAAGTGGTACTGTGGCTCAAGTGGTAGAGTACTTTGTCTTGAACTGAAGAGATGAGGGACAGGCCCAGAGTTCAAGCCCTATGACTGACCAAGAGAGAGAGAGAGAGAGATGGAGTATGAGTGGGCAGGGAGTGCCCAAGCTCTGCCAACTGTGTGTCACTGAGAGCAGACCCAATGCACAGTCTAAAGTAAACTATCCCTTCAGCAATGGCCCCAATAATACTTCAAGTTTACATCTAGCACCTTTCACAGTCAGTGGGGGGCCCGGCCTAGCAGTCCAGATGTGGTTTCCTTTCTAAAAACAGATTGTGTACAAGTACTATCTGGGGGTCTCATGCCAAAGGTTAAAGACTATTTCCAGGCTAGGCAGGTGAGATACTTGCCATTTGGAAACAGAAGATATTCATTGCAGCCAGGTGCAGTGGCTCACACCTGTAATCCCAGCTACTCAAGAGGATTGTGGTTTGAAAGCAGCCTGGGTAAAAAGTTAGCAAACCTATCTCAACAAGTGAGCTAGGCAGTGGTGGCATATGCCTGCAATTCCAGTGATATAGGAGGTGGAGGCAAGGCTGGAGCAAAAACGTACTTGACAACAAGCAAGCAAGCAAACAAATAAACACTACACGTAAAAAGGGCTAGAGTTGTTGGCTTGAGACGTAGAATGCCTGCCTATCAAGCATGGGAACTTGAGTTCAAAACCCCAGGACTGCCCCCAAAAGATATCCATTATAGCCAGGTGCTGGTGGCTCATGCCTATAATTCTAGCTACACAGGAGGCTGAGATATGAGGCTCATAGTTCAAAGCCAGCCCAGGCAGGAAAGTCTGTGAGATCTTAACTCCAATTAATCACCAAAACACCAAAAGTGTGTCTGTGGCTCAAGTGGTAGACCTCCTAGCCTTAAGCCGAAGAGCTCAGGGACAGTGCCTGAGTTCAAGCCCCACACCAACAACAACAAAAAGATATCCATTGTAAGTAAGACCCCTCATTGTATTACAGGAAAAAGAAAATCACTGTTTGGCATAAGTCAAAGGAGGATCTGTTGCCAGGATTTCAGGTGTACATAATCAGAGGAAGCTCAGAGAAACAGGTGTGAAGCATGCAGGAGGAAGATTGCTGGGACATAGACACTCTCAGATGCTGCCACAGCCATTGGGCATTGTGCCTCGTTAGCCCTGGGTTACCTGCTCCAGAGTCCAAATTCTGACTAGAAATATCCAAGAGGTTGAGCTTAGCTCTGTACTCATGGCTGCCAGAGGATAGAGGAGGGAATGGCCAAGTCCTTGAGTTCTCTTGGTGGCAGAGTGGGCTGCCAAGGCTGGCCCTAAGCAATACACAGAGGTTATATGTGGAACCGCCAAGCAAATGATAAACACCTTCGTCCAGGAAAGTCAAAGTGGCAAGCATGAGTCCACGTGAGAGAGAGAAGTCATGAGGGTAGACTGGAGTCCTCACACTGGAAAGGATTTCAGAGACTAGGAAGCAATTATGGAGATCAGGAGCAGTTCTGGCCATTGAGCTACAGGGGCTGGACTATGTGGAGCTGGGCATTGGTTCTTTGGAGGTCCAACCAAGGATGTGGGACTCAGGTCAGACAGATAGTGAGCTTTGAGGCTTGTTAGAACTGAGTGCGAATTCTAGGTCTACCTGTGTGACCGGGTGAGTTAGTCTGCTGCCTCCTCCTCTTCCTCCTCCTCCTCCTCCTCCTCTTTCTCCTCCTCCTTCTCCTGCTCTTTTTCCTCCTCTTCCTACTTCTTATGTGCCAACCCTGGGAGTTCAACTCAGGGAGGGCCTGGGCACTGTTCCTGAGTTTCTTTTGCTCAAGACAAAGTGCTCTACCACTTGAGTCATTGTCATTCTTTATAAAATAGTAACACCTGCCTTACAAAGTTGCTTCATAATGTGTGTGAAGCCCCTCATCCATGTTTGTCACTTGGGGGATCGGAAGTATTGTTGACGATCTCTTCCATTGTCCCTCCCTGTCCTTGGCCTATGGTGAGCTCAGGGCCAGATAGGTTGTCCATAGCTCTGGTTGCTCTCCTCACAGCTCCACTGTGAATTGCTAGCCCACAAGCTGCTTGTCCAATTCTCTTTACTGCGTGTCAAGAGGAGCTAAAGAATACCAGCTGCAGCCAAGTACAACCATGTGCCTAAGAAGGTCAGTGTTGCCCATGGTCTGGGCTCCTTCCAATAGGCAGAAGCCACATTACTGTACTGAGATGGATCTAGAATTTCCCATGAAGCTCAGCTGGCCCAAGCCCCTTACTCCAGATGTGGCCACTGATCCCTGGCTCACTTATATCTGATTGTATGTGTGTTGGGAGGGGGCTACCCTGTTTCCAGAGGTGTCCTTCACTTCTTCTGGTGTTTGGATGTTTCAGTAAAGAGAGACATGATCACCTACCTGTGTACTTGTGTTATGCACTAAAATTACACTCCGCGTGATCCAGAGGTTTTCCATATGACTGTATACTTTTGACATTTTTAAAGAGAAAAGGGTTATTTCATCTTATAGGAGTTATGAATACAAGATCAGGTAGATCTCTTGCTTTGGGGTGCCACAATCCTCTTTAATGGTATGCCAATGACCTCAAGACTTCCCACTAGGCTCCACCTCCTCCAGGCCCCACCACCTCCCAACAGTGCCACTGGGAGGGCCAAGCCTTTACCACCTGGACCTTTGGGGGACACCTGCCAGCTTCAGCAAGCTCCTTCAGGGCAGGGACCATATTTGTTTATCTCAGATTTCAAACATCTCAGAGACCCTGTTATGTGGCAAGATCACAGAGAATGTTGAATTGACTTAAACTTCAAATTCTAGATTCAAATAGATTTAAAAGAAACTCTGGGGCTGGGAAGGTAGCTCAGTGGTAGAGTGCTTGCCTTGCATGCATGAGGCCCTGGGTTCGATTCCTCAGCACCACATAAGCAGAAAATAGCCGGAAGTGGTGCTGTGGCTCAAATGGTAGAGTATTAGCCTTGAGCTGAAGAGCTGAGGGATAGCGCCCAGGCCCAGAGTTCAGGTCCCACGACCAACAAAAAAAAAAAAAAAAGAAACTCTATAACACTGCATTATTTCTTCCATAATCCATACTCACATGCTATTATTTTTTAAGCATGGTGTCTTGGGCTTGTTTTTTTTTTTTTTTTTTTTTTAACTCTGGGCCTTGGTGCTGTCCCTCAGCTCTTCAGCTCAAGTCTAGCACTCTACCACTGCACCACTTCGGGTTTTCTGGTGGTTGATTGGAGATAAGAGTCTCACAGACTTTCCCGCTTGGGCTGGCTTTGAACCACGATCCTTAGATCTCAGCTTCCTAAGTAACTAGGATTATAGGCATGAGCCACCGACACCTGGGTGGGTTTTTTTTGGCCAGTCGTGGGGCTTGAACTCTGGGCTTGGGTGCTGTCCCTGCGCTCTTCAGCTCAAGGCTAGCGCTCTACCACTTGAGCTACAGTGCCACTTCTGGTTTTCTAGTGGTTTACTGGAGATAAGCGTCTCATGGACTTTCCTGCCCAGGCTGGCTTTGAACCATGATCCTCATATCTCAGCCTCCTGAGTAGCTAGGATTCCAGGCATGAGCCACCGGCACCCGGCTTGTTTTTGTATGGTAAAAAACCTGCTTTTGCTTTCAAAAATTGGGAATAAAAACCCAAAATTGAAAAGCAAAAATAGAAATAGAAAGGTGAGGGGAAGAGAGAGAAAATAGCCTGAAATCTTACCCGTTTTACACAACTGTTATTAACATGCACACTCAGTTGCTTACTCAACTGAGCCACACTAATGTGAAAGAGAGACCTCACATTCAGCATTTCTGGGGGGTCCAGTTGTGGGCCTGAACTCTGGGCCTGGGCGCTCTCCCTCAGCTCTTCAGGTCAAGGCTAGCGCTCTACCACTTGAGCCACAGCGTCACTTCCAGCTTTTTTTTTTTCTTGTTGCTTATGTGGTGCTGAGGAATCGAACCCAGGGCCTCAAGCATGCAAGGCAAGCGCTCTACCACTGAGCCACCTTCCCAGCCCACATTCAGCATTTCTGAAATGAAAGTTCTGATCTTTTCCCCCAAACACACCCTCCTGCAGTATCTTCACTTATCCTTCTGTCATATAGGCCAAAAATCCTTGGAGCTATTCTTTGTTTCCTCACATTTCCCACCAGGAAATTCTGTCGTCTCCACTGTCTCAAACAATGCCCAGCCCCTGACCCTGCTTCACCATCTCCACTGTCACCTCCCAGGTGGCCCAGGGGCCAGGTGCTCTCCCCTGGATTTCTCTAATCTCCCTGGATGACTGGGCTCCTTGTGCTCTGAACCCCAGTCTTGTCCCAAGATACAAATCCAAGATGACTTGTTAAAACATGGAGGACCTTCCCATTCCTTTGGGCCAAACCCTCCTAATCCATTCAGAGGAAAAGCAGAGTTCTGGCAACAACCAGTTGGGTGTGATCAGAATCCCCCATTCACCTCTTTAACAAATCACGATGACTCTTTTGTTTCTTGAATGCATTTGGCCTACTCCTGTCTTAGAAGCTTGGTAGGCAATGCTCAGTCTGCTTAGAAAGCTCCTCCTCCAGATCTGCATTCAGCAAACTCCTCCCTCTTCACCTCAGTGCATACCACCCTGACCACCCTTATAGAAATCAATTCACTTTCCTGATAGCGCTGGCTGCAACCTAATATCACACATAATGTATCGTTTTATTTGTTGTGTCCCCTTTAATGCTGACACAGAAAGACTTGGCTCATTGTAGTGATTGTAGTGCCTACTAGCAGAAATGCTCCATGGACTGGGGGTGTTGTTCAGTGTAGAGCATGTGCTCAGCCTGTGTGCTGACCTGGGTTCCACCCCCAGCACCAGACCAACAAAACAAGATGCTCCATAAATATTTGTTAAATAAATGTTGAAAACAATACCATTTGACAGTGCTCTGAATACAGGGAAAGTGTATATTTGACCTCCGTTTTTTTCAGAGTGGGGCAGAATCCGTTTTGAAAAGTAAATTGAATGAGGGCTGGGAATGTGGTTCAGTGGTAGAGTGCTTGCCTAGCATGCATGAAGCCTGGGTTCGATTCTTCAGTACCACACACACAGAAAAAGCCAGAAGTGCCACTGTGGCTCAAGTGGTTGAGTGCTAGCCTTGAGCAAAAGAATCTCAGGGACAGTGCCCAGGTCCTCAGTTTAGGCCCCAGGACTGGCAAAAAAAAAAAAAAGTAGATTAAATGGAAATAATTCATTCTGTCTGGCATAGTAATTGATTGTCTACAACTAAAGAGAGACTGTGCTATGTACTACAGAGAGTCAAAAAATGTCTCTTCCTACAGAAAGGGAAGTTAGTAGGGATATTAGACATTAACAGAAATAACACTCCACCAATTTAGCTCGGTGCTGGTGGCTCACGCCTGTAATCCTAGCTACTCAGGAGGTTGAGATCTGAGGATCACAGTTCAAAGCCAGCTGGGGCAGGAATGTCTGTCTGTGAGACTCTTATTTCCAATTAACCATCAGAAAACCAATAGTGGGCTGTGGCTCAAATGGTAGAAGCACTTGCCTTGAGCAGAAGAGCTGAGGGAGAGTGCCCAGGCCCAGAGTTCAAGCTCCATGACAGACCAAATAAAAAACAAACAAAAAGGCTGGGAAGGTAGCTCAGTGGTAGAGTGCTTGCCTCACATGCATGAGGCCCTGGGTTTGATTCCTTAGCTCCACGTAAACAGAAAAAGCCAAAGTAGTGCTGTGGCTCAAGTGGTAGCCTTGAAGTAAAGAGCTGAAGGACAGCATGCAGGCTCAGAATTCAAGTCCCATGACCGACAAAAAAAAAAAAAAAAAAAAAAAAGAAAAAAAGTAAAACCCAAACCAAACCAATTTACACTACAAAGAACAAAAACAGACTGTCCTTACCATATAAAGCTCCTAGAGAGCAATAAAAGAACAACCACAAGTAGACAAAGACAGATGATTCACAAGAGAAGCAATATAGTAGGATGAGAAAAGAATAATAATACAAAGTATATTCATGGCAATATCACAACGAAACTCTACACTTTGAACATTAGAATATGCGAATAAAGATGTGGAAGAAAGAATTTCAATACCACTCCCCATGAAAAAGAAAGCTTGACTTTGCTAGTAAAGTATAAATCAGTATAGTGGGGTATTACTTTTTGTGTGTCAAATAGGTAGAGATTTATGGAAATGCTAATATCCATACTGGAGCAAGTATGGAGAGTAAGAGATGTTTTTCAGTTCCTAATTTTGGAAGCTTTAAGTCTGAAGTTGGGCAGCCTTATGCTGCGACTGTATGTATGCGACTGTAAAGGTTTTTGGGTTTTTTGGGGGGAGGGTCCGGTCGTGGGGCCTGAACTCTGGGCCTGGGCGCTGTCTCTCAGCTCTTCAGCTCAAGGCTAGCGCTCTACCACTTGAGCCACAGCGCCACTTCCAGCTTTTTTCTTTTTGCTTATGTGGTGCTGGGGAATCGAACCCAGGGCCTCAGGCATGCAAGGCAAGCGCTCTACCACTGAGCCACCTTCCCAGCCTCTATAAACATTTTTACTTTATAAAAATTCAGTCCCGAGGGAACTAAGTGGGGGCCAGTGGAGAGATACATCAATCCCTTCTGAGTGGTACCCTCCCAGCACCTGTGCATGGCCGCACTGAGGACTAAGACACACAAACCTCTGGGGAACAAATCACACTTGAAAGCATCACAGCCTGGGTTGGGTTTGGGAAGGAAAGTGATGTGCAAAGAGCAAAGCAAGGATCCAGATCAGGGCTTCCCAACATGGAGTAACTAAGGGCCAAGATAAACTTGGGTCGGGGCCACCTTGCTCCCCGAATCCACAACCTCCTGAGGGTGAGCCCTGTGCCTAGCCCTTGAGCCACCAGAGGAAAATTGAATGCAGGATTTGAACACAGAGAAAAAGAGAGAGGGGGAGATTTTTACTTAAATAGACTTTATAATCAGAAGTAAACAAGATGGTCTCCTGTGCAAAGCATTTTGGTGAAGGTAGAGCCAGCCACCCCGTCTGTTAACAATTCTGCAGCGTGTGTGGGTGTGGTCAGCGCTGGGTCCGGCTCGGGTCCTCCGGAGCGCATGCGTAGAGCCCCCATCCACCCACGAGCGTCTTGGGTCCGCAGGCCCCTTCCGGAGCAGCTGGGCGTCCGGCCTGGGTTCCCGCTGCCCTCGAGGGCACCCTCCCCACGCAGGGCCGCCCGCCGCGTGCCGGCGGCGGCGGGTGCCGGGTCCGAGGCCGCGCGGCGGGGTGCGGCGCTCAGGACTCGGGGAACAGGGGGTACGAGTTCTTGGCCCGGAAGCGGCCGCAGACGCGCAGGCCCACCAACACCGCGATGCCCAGCAGCAAGAGGGCGCCCAGGGCCCCGAAGAGGATCCCGAGGAAGGCGCCGAGCTTCACGCTGAGGCGCTCGCAGCGCTCGCCCCACGACGTGTAGATGGCGAAGGACAAGCAGCTGCGGACGGAGAGAGGGGGCGGTCAGCGGCACGCCTGGGCGGCCGGGGCCGGGGCCGGGGCCGGGGCCGGCGCCGGCGGGGTCTCCCCCCACCCCCGCGAGGGGAGAGGGACCGCCCCACACCAAGGCCCGGGAGGACAGCCTCCGGCCCGGGAGCGGGACGGGCGGGGCGCTGTGCGCCTGCGCGGCCGCAGTCCCCGCCCAGGCTCCGCCCTTGGCTCCGCCCCACAGCCGCCGGCCTTCGCCCTTCCCCTCCTGCTCCCGCTCTCTCCTCGGTCCGCTTTCGGAGCTACGGACGATCAGGGGCCTCGGGAGACAGGTCCGGGTGGCGTCGCAGCCCCACAGCCTGCCCTCACGGAGTCACCCGGCGGCTAATACAGGGGTGTGGGAGGAAACAGGCAGCGGTTTCGGGGCTCCCCTGTAGAATGCTCTGTGGAGGGCCAGGCTGGCCCCCAGCACCAGCGGGCGGGTTCCTCTCACCAGGACAGCGGCGGACCCCTGTGACTCTGCTGCCTGGGTACCTGGGGCTGGTTCCTTAGCATTCCCGAGCCCCCTGCAGGGTCTTGCTCCAGCCCTGCCCTCCACCCCCTGCCCCAGGCCCTACGCACCTGCAGCGGGGCCCATCCGGCAGGTGCTGGCACTGGCCTCCGTGGTGACAGTAGTTCTCGCTACATGGGGACACGCAGGTGAAGCCACTCTGTGGGTCGTAGGCCAGGCGGTAGCCCTTGTAGCCGTCACATTTAAAGTAAGTCTCCAGCGTGCTCAGGTTCACTGGTGGGCAGGACATAGATTCACATAGAAGGCAACCAGTTAAAGAGAAACTCACCCCCTCCAGACTAGAATTCCATTTTCAGGGGTTTGTTTTGGAATAGCGTGTGTGTGTGTGTGTATGTATGTATGTATGTATGTGTGTATGTGTGTGTGTATGTATGTTTGTGTATATGTATGAGTATGTAAGTATATATATGGATATATCTACAGGTATATCGATATCCAGAGACACATGGTTGCCAGTATCAACAGGAGGAGTTACTGTAGATCCTTATCTAAAGAGTGACAATTCTAAGGTAGGAAAATGTGTTAGTATAAGCTTTGAAGTTACCAGACCTCAGTTGAAATTCAAATTCAACTACTAATTGTATGATGTGGGGAGATTTCCTAACTGAACCTCAGTTTCCTTATCTTTAAAAACAAATTGTAATAATATGAGATTTAAATGAAATACTACATAGGCTGCCTGACACATAGCACTCATTAGGGAATTACTGTTACCACAATATGTTTAACAATACTATAAAACACTATATTTGAGTGGAGTGTGGTGACTTGTGGTTATAATCACAGCTACTCAGGAGGCAGGGATCAAGGGAAATGAGGTTTGGGGCCAGCCCAGGTAAAAAGTTAGTGAGACTACCCCCATCTTAACTAACAAGCCCAGCACAGTACTTACTGTGCATAGATAAAAGGAACAGAGAAGAAGATCATTGTTTCTGAGCTGACCTCAGACAATAATACAAGACCCTATCTGAGAAGTAACTAAAGCAAACAAGACTGGGACTGTGGCTGTAGTGGTAGAGCACCAGCCTATGGAAACACAGTTCCAGAGTTCAAACCCCGGTACTTCCTCCCATCCCCAGCTTCAAAAAAGCCCAAAACACTAAATCAAATGTACTCACAATTATTTAATGAGGAAGCTATCAAACATTAAGTATAAATTGAAGGCTTCATAAGAATTAATATGTGAAGGCCTTAAAGTTCCAGCAGAGAGCTCAGAAGAATGTGTACAAAGTAGTATTATCTCAGGATTGGGATTATACATTATTCTCCCCCTTTTTGTTCACTTATGATCCTCTGGCTAGAGGGCAAAGGTGAAGGACAGGTCCTTGCATGTATTTATGTACAATGGCAGCTTAAGAAAACTGTGAGTGGTTGGGTATAATGCTGCACGCCTGTAATCCCAGCCACTAGAAAAGTAGAAACAGGTGGATAGTAGTTCAAAATCAACTTGGGCAAAAGTGTTAGACACTATCTGAAAGACAAAACTAAAAAGCCAAAGGGATGTGGCTCAAGTGGCAGAGTGCCTGTGAGGCCTTAAGTTCAAGCCCCAGTTCCACCAAAAGAAGAATGAAAACTGTGAGCAATTTTATTAAATGAGAGGAAAGTGCTGCCACGGGCAGCAAGGCTTGGAGTAACTGCTGTGTGAAAGGAAACCTACTGATGCATCGGGAGTATTTTGGCCACTCCCAGCTCTGAATCTAAAAAGGGGATGCTTACAATGTTATCAGATTACAAGCAACAAAACTAAATCAATGTGCTTCTTATTTGTGTGTGGAACTCCCTAGTCCACTTTTACTATAGGTTTTTGTGTGGCCTGAAGATCTGTGATAGGCTCCCTCTTATGTCCCTCCTCCCCGCTGCTGTCCCATATTGTCACTAAGATAGTGACTCACCAGCCATTCCCTCGCGTATATCTCCCTTTGAGATGGGGTAGAAGTACACATTGTTCTTGGGCTCCCCGTTCCTCTTCTGCCTCCCTCTCGGAGCCTGGAGGAAGGCCTCTACTATGGCCTCCCGAAGCTGGTTGTTCAGAAAGTGGATGACGGGGCCTCTAGGGCGGTACTGGAACTTGGAGGTGACTAACCAGTGTTGAATTGTGTGTCCTGGGGTCAGTATTGATTGAGAACTGTGATGGGTAGAGGACAGCAAAGGGTTAAGGAGCAGGGGGAGAAGATATGGAGATGGGGGGGGGGGGGGCACAGGGACAATCTCACTTACATTGGTTGTACTTGGCTGTTCCGGAGAAAGGTCTGCACTTCCAGGGTCTCCAGTCTGTATGCCACCTGAGACAGAGGATCATGGAATGGGAAGTGGGGTTGTGACTAGAGAGGAGACCCCTCCCACTATAATGTGCTCAGTTACCCCTGCCTGGTTTCACCTTTGAACATGAATACAGGACACACCAAGATATTTCTCACCATCTTGTCATCCCCAACTGCTTCCTAGGCTAGTGGCTGGCCTGGGTCTTGCTAAATCCTCATTGATGAGTGGAATTTACCTTCTTTCTCCATCCTCTGCCTCGTATTACAGGGAGAGTCTGAAATGTATGATCTGTACTTGGCCTCTGTCCCAACTCATTCCCTCCACCATGTAGACCCATGAGTTGCTTAGCTAGGTCCAGGGATGACCAGGAGCCAGTGATGTCAAGCGGAATGAGGAACTACTTATACTCACGGTCCTTGTCATCAGTTGCAATGGACAAATGTCAGCAGGTGTTACCGTTTGGGGTATAGTAGTAGTGTTAGTAAGAGTATCAACAGTTTGTAAATGCTTGGTGTTTTGTGCTGCATGTGTTAGGCATATTTTCATTTTTGGGTGTGTGCTAGTAGTGGGGCTTGAACTCAGGACTTCTCACTCTCGTTTGGCTTCTGTTCAAGGCTGATGCTCTACCACTTAAGCCATTCTTTGACTGTGGTGGTTAATTGGAGTAAGAGTCCCATGGACTTTTCCGCCTAAACTGTCCTCCAACAGCGATCCTCAGATCTTAGCCTTGTGAGTGGCTAGGATTACAAGGTGTAAACCACGAGCACCCATCTCTACACAATCTCATCTAAATCTCAACAACCCAGAGACATAGGCACCACTCTCATCCCTTTTAATACATCAGTCACTAAGTAGCAAAATATGTCTAGCAAAATATGTCTACTATGACTGAGTTACATTTTTGGCATGCATGGAAGTGTCGTGATGAACCCCTTTACTACTATTTAATATGTGCCAATCTAATATGTAATATATAATTAATACAATCTCACATTTTATATATTTAATATACAACTAAATAGATGCCAATAAACAAGTGCTAAGCTAGTTATGTAATGATTACACCTGCTCAAGTAAGCAGAAGGGCAGAGATTTGAATCCTCATGGATAGGAGTGTAGAGGCTCAGCCACTCAATCACCAGGTTGCTTTAGTGGTGACTGACGTGTGGGCAAGGGTATGGCAGCCAAGAGGACAGAGCGCCTGTTCCCTCTAGAAAGTCAGGGTGGAGATGAAATGCCCCAGTGTATCTGGAAGAGTCCATACAATACCCAGAGACTCTGATGGGGTATTCAGGGAGAGGCTGGATGAGGCCAGATGGACAACTGAGGCTAAATGGATACACAGTGATGGCTGGCCCTTGCTTGCCCCAGATGAGATCCAAGCCCCACCCTGTGGAGCTGGGCATGCAACACTGGCACTGACCGAGGCGTTGACGTCGGCAACAGAGGCATTTTCTCCCTCTTTCAGTGTAAGGTGGATGACTCTTAAGGGAAGAACTGGAGATGGAAGAAACAGATCCATTATCACCTCACAAATGTATGGGACTCATTGGAGATGTCATTGAGCCATGTCAGAAGGTCACTGGCACATGTCTGACTCTCACTCCTGAGCTCCCTCTGGGATGACCAGAGCACCTGTAACTCTTATGTCCATCAGCTCGTTGGCCTCTGCTTTAGTGTGTCCCCAGAAGACGGCACAGACTTGTGGTTCACACAAGCCATCACACAACTCACTACATGCTAAGAAAACTCAGGGTTTCTGACTGGTCACTTTGAGGTGCTGGCCCAGGACCCCAGTTATCCCACTTTCCTCAAAGATGACAGAGTGTGGGATGGGGTGTTAGGGGTATCTTCTTGTACCTCCATAAATGGCTGGAGTGAAATTGTTCCCTGCCAGGAAGCATCGGGTGTCGGTGAAGGCTGGGGGGCAGGTACAGGTGGGCTGGCAGTCTGGAGTCTGGGAGATGTAGCAGTGGCCTTGATTATAGCAGTAATTCACAGGACAGGAGTGGTTCACACAGTGGAAGAGGTCCTCCAGAGCTGCAGAAGAATGGTAGTCATGCCATACTGAGGTAGCCAGAGGAGCCCAGGGGGAGAGGTGACCCTGGGAATCTGTTCACAGGACATCTTGGTTTCTGCTCTATCTATGTCCTGTTTGTGGGCCACTCTGAACCCCAAACGATCTTCTTTTTCCTTTTCTAGACATTTTTCTACAAGGCAACCTCCCTCCCCCACCTCATATTTTGCTAGACAGGTTTTTTTTTTTTTCCTTCTGCAACAGCAATGGCAAGTTTATCAAACCCTTGGAAGGACTCAGAAGGCTGCAGGTTAGGCTATAGTTCTGCCTATTCTGGCTCTTGCCAGAAGTCAGTGGTCTCGTGATGGTACTTGGCTGCCTTGGGGGTTGATGGAGTCCCCCTGTAATCTCACTGTCACTGCAGCTGCTCAGAGCTAGAAAGCAGACTGGGATGGTGGAGGACCCAAAGAAAAATGAGCTCCTTTAGCTGTTTCCCCAAATATCCCACCTTATGAGATGCTCTGGTTCTTGTGTCTGAAGACCCTCAGGTGGCTCACCACAGGGTCCCAGCCTCCTCCTGACCATCTAGTTTAGTCTTTTGAGTTTTCCCCAATACCACCTCTGGACTGCTATGCCTGGCCCCGCCCTCTGCCAGGACAGCCTCTTCTCCTTCAGCCCTGCACCACGTTCCACCCCCTTTCCATGCCCCCTTCCCGTGACTTCCTGGAACAAGTATGCAAAAGACTTCCTGGAAAAAGGAGACACCCAGTTTTCCTTGGCAGTTTTTCAAGTCTAGAAGATGCTACCTGGTCATGGAACCTCCTCTTGCCTGGTCTTTGCTCCTGGCTCACCTGCACAGTGACGCCCATCCCCAGTCATGTTGGGGGGGCAGGCCTCACAGCCCTTCCCGCGAATGCAGTGCACGTTTGGGAAACATTGCTGGTCACAGGGGTCCTTGGTGCGTTCACAGTAGAGGCCGAAGCTGTCCTCATCACACTTACAGCTGGCCACCTGGAACAGCAGCCCAAGTTGTTAATCACCAGATAGCCACAAAGCTAAACCATTAAGGACGTCCGGTGTCTCTGGACTGACACCCTTCCAGTTCAAGAACCCATGAGCCTTGGGTCCTTGTCTTAGTCCTGTTTGCAAGTGCTGAACACCTACCAGCTTGATCAGGCCAAGCCCACAGGCCCTTTCCAAAGCCACACAGTCCTCCTGTCCCTCAGTCTCCCAGGCCCTTTCTTTACCCTGAGTCCCACCCTGTTTGGTCCTGAAGCTTCTCTCATGTCCTATCTCCTTCCACAGTAAGGCATGGATGTCTCCCAGAGCCTGGAGGAAAGCGGGGTGTAACTACTGGAGGCCCCATAGACTTCATGCCCCGGGGGCATAGGGAGACCTCCCACCCGACACCTCAATGACTCTGAGGAAGCAAACTGCAAGGAGGCTGAAATTAAAGTCTAACAGTCTGACCAAATGGGAGGTGAGACATAAATATTCACTTGAAACCAGATGCTGGTGGCTCATGTCTATAATTCTAGCTACTCAGAATGCTGAGATCTGAGGATCTCAGTCAGAAGACAGCCCCAGGCAGGAAAATCTGTGAGACTCTTAGCTCCAATTAACTGCCAAAAAAGCCAGAAGTAGGGGTGTGGCTCAATGGTAGCTATAACTTCTTAAGCAAAGAACCTAAGAGACAATATCCAGACCCTGCATTCGAGCCTGAGTACTGGCACAAAAAGAAAGAGAGAGAGAGAGAAAAAAAGCAAAAGAAAGAAAAAGAAAGAAAGAAAGAAAAAGTCACAGAGTCCTATCTCTTCACACATGAACTTGCCTGAGATTGGTACCGGCTATACTCATTCATCATGGATCCACCCACCTCCTCTTACCCAGGGGAGACTGAGTTGCAACCTCCCTTCCATATGCACTTCCTTTCCTGCATCATGGAAATCTCCTTCTTTTTTTTGTGTGTGTGTGGGGAGTGGGGGGGCGCGTCCGGTCGTGGGGCCTGAACTCTGGGCCTGGGCGCTGTCCCTCAGCTCTTACCACTTGAGCCACAGCGCCACTTCCGGCTTTTTTCTTTTTGCTTATGTGGTGCTGAGGAATCGAACCCAGGGCCTCAGGCATGCAAGACAAGCGCTCTACCACTGAGCCACCTCCCCAGTCCGGAAATCTCCTTCTTATGCCATCCCAACACTCACCTCAAGAGAGGAATTGCCCACCCACTTGGTCTGATTGAACAAGCACTGCCTCTTTGCCTTGCAGAAGCAGACCATAGCCTTGGGCTGGAGTGCAGATGACAAACCAGTCCTGCTGTCTCTTGCTAGAATATCCAGCGTGCACGGTCCCAGGGATGTTGGTTTCCACAGAAAAGTTCCATTCTCTGCCCAGGGAAGATGAGATTGTTGAGGGCTGGGAGACTTTTGCTCTGTAGTCCCCTGTATGCTGGCATCTTACACCTTGATGGCTAAGGCCGTTTCCTCCCATCCCTCTCACACATACCCCTCAACTATAAACAGACTGAATGAACTATGCTGTTACTTGGGGTGATCTTGACTATGTTCAAACTGGAGGAAGTTACATCACCCTAATTTACTGACTGTACGGGGAAATTTACAAAGCAAAAGACTATTGCTCCTAGAAAGACCTCCCCCCAAAAGACAACCCTGCCTGAATCCTGAACCCAGGATGGGTGTTCTGGGGTTGAAAGATGAGAACCAGAATCCTCTGGGTGCTTCCTGAAACCACAGGCTAAACTGGCCTCAGCCCTGAACACTCCTCCCCCCACCCCCACCCCCATCTTATCCTGACTTTTTATCACCCCTTTCATGTACTTTGCCCAGCTACCCCTGACCTTTATCCAGCTAGCAGACTACACTGTTTAATGTCATTTAATCAAATTTGTCTCTTTTTCCCCAATCAAAATAAGAAAGACTCCACAAAAGAGCAGGATGGAAGGAGTGTACAGTAGTGAGTAAACAAGAATGAATTCCAGAGCATGGCTTTTCAGTAGTGTCAATGAAGTGTGGGATGCACTAGGCACTGGGCTAGGTGCCTTGAGGAGCAAAACGGGATGCAGGCAGAGCAGGCCTTCCTTATGCTCAGAGAAAGGCAATGAGGGTGTGAGGGGATTACAATTCAGAACACGGTCCCTGAGAAATTTGGCCTAGTGAAAAACAGTCTCCGGCAAGGAGTACAATAGAGGGGGTAAAAATTGATCAGAATACAACATAAACATAGGAAACAATGAAATCCACCTCCTGTATAACTAATATAAGACAATCAAAAAAGAAAGAAAGAGAAAGGAGAGGAGAAGAGAAAATAGATCTGGCTACTAAATGAAAAGTAATTCAGCTTCACTGCATGGCAAATAGATGCAAAATAGAGTTAGGGGCTAAGAGGTTGAAACCTGGAGGATTGCAGCTCAAAGCCAGCCCAGACAGAAACATCTATGAGACTCCATTTTCAGTTAACCAGCAAAATGCTGAATTATAGGTGTGGTTCAAGTGGTAGAGCACTAGCCATGAGCAAGAAAATTGAACAAGAGGCTTTCAATGTTGGCATGCATAGGCATGCACGTGTGCACGCACACACACACACATACACACACACACACACACACACAGGAATAGCAGTTTGACCTTATGCTGTACTTCCCCACTCCCCACACAGCCAAAGGGTCTTACCAAAGAGCTTAGAGTCATTACAATGGTCTCTGAGGGTGAATGTGATGTTCTCAGAGTTACTGGAGAATTGAATCTTTATGGGTTTTCCCTTGTAGGCTTCAATCACACTGGGGCCGCTGATTGAGGGTGGGTTCTGATCTGCAACACAGACTGGAGCTGAGGCAGGGCACTCTGGCTTAGTCTTTCCCTCCTCTCCTGCCCCAGTGTCTTGGGAGGCCTTTCCATATCTGAGCCACCTCTCAGAGCAGGTTGGACTTACTCTGCCCATCTGCCCAAACCTTTAGTCTCTCTTTCTTTTCCCCAAACAGGGCTCATTTCACATTCTTTCCTATCTGGGGCAAAGTGACCCAGAAAACAGGGCTGTTCAGATCATTAGGTCTTTCTATTTTTAGAGAAGAGCCCCAAGCCACAAGAGAATAGCTAGACAGCCATTGCATTTGTCTGCAAATAGAGAGGGGGGCAAATCTCTCAACAGTCTGTTTCCTGGAGCCTTGCTATTTTTATTCCATTGTTCATTCATCCACTAAGCCAGTCAGCTAACAACTGTTTTTATTGAGCACCTAATAGCTGGATGACATCATTGTAGGATATAACAGTGGATATGTGAAGAAAATATGACACATGAAAATTATAAAATATGTTTAGTAGTTGTCCATAATAAGGAAAAGGCAAGCGGGAGGCATGGCTGAAGATGGAATTTTACACAGCAGAGCTGAGGGGTATCACCGAGAAGGAGATGGGTAAAGAGGTGAAGAACAGTCTATGACTGTCCAAGGAAAGGACTTTCAAAGTAGAAGAAGCCTGTGCTAAGACCCAGAGTTAAGAGAGCCCAGTGGGGTAGGAGTAGAGGGAGAGGAGTTGGTGAGCTCTGGGGAAAGAGTCCTGAGAGACGAAGGACACAGACTGAATAGGGCTGTGTCGGGCACCACAGGGAGTCTTAGGTGCATTTTGATCAGAGCTGTATGATGCCCTAAAGGCATAAAATGATGGAGGGGTGGCTTGCATCTGCTCCCCAGCTTGGCAAACCTTTCCCTGGGTCTCACAGCACTTACTGAGGCTGGTGTTCATCCGCTGGTATTTTTCAGAGGTCATCCTGGTGTGACGTCCGATGTCTATGTTTCCCGTGACCAGGAAATCATAGGTGCATTGTTCATCTTCATTACACTCAGCGACCAAAGAATTATTGTTTCTCATTGTTAGTTGGGACAAAAATACAGGGGTGAAATTGGAAGGCAGAGAACCAGTCCTGTTCCCGAGGAGGCCTGTTCCATTGATTTGCCCTATAACATAGGATACGGGCTTAGTGTGGGGGGGGGGGGGGAGGGGGGGTAACAGGGCTGGGATTCCAGACTTATTCTGGCTGAGTCCATTCCTGCATGCACACTGTGGGAGGGGACATGGGAACAGAGTGGCTTGCAGCTTCTGAGTCAGGAAATTACTGCTTCAGTGAGTACTACCTGCCCAGTCCCTCCCCAATGGAGACAAGCAAGTGGGATGGCACTGGGGGGCACAAATCTGGGGTGGTGGCCAACTCCTCAGACCTTTATTTTGATAGAAGCCTGGGGAGACCACATACAGGATCCCCTTATTCTGGCCTGCCCCATCATCAGCTCTGCTGAGGGGTTCCCGGGACTCACAGGTCATTCCATAGTGATAAAGCATCTCCTCAGAGCTGTTTCTAGGGATGGTGGAGCCATTGGGCATCCTGAAGTCATCTTCCGGATTGTTGTTCCAGACCCCTGAGGGACAAAGGAGGTCAGCCACCCCAGAAGGTGGCTCTCCCCTTTCCTAGGGAACATCTGACCCGTCAGGTTTGGGCCCCCAGGAGAAGGGGCACTGTACTTCAGAGAAAGGAGAAAAGGTAATGATTGAGGAAATGGAGGGAGATTGGAGGGAGATGGTGGAAGACCAGGAGAAAAGAACACAGATGTGGGGGATAGAGGTAGGGGAAGAGTGGCTGTGGCCCTCTCCTTCCCAAAGCCAGAGAAGGACAGGAAGTGAGCTGCAGGATGATGGTAGTATCCCCTTCCCATCCCTGGCTAGCTATATGCCCTAGAAGGGCTGAGAAACAGAACGGGGCAGGCGGGCCCATAGCTCACAGGAAGGCCATCTGCCCCTATCTGGGGTGCCAGCACCTCCTTCTTACCCAGGAGACCCTCTGTGCGGTTTTGGTACTCCTCTGGAAGGTTGGAGGAGGCATGGAGGATGTTGGAGAGAGCGATCACTGTGATGGTCACTGTCCCATCAAAGCTGGCTGAAATCTGGGAGCCATTCCGGGTCAACAGGAGACCAGTGGTGTTGAATATCTGCAGGCCTAGAGGACAAGGAGGAAGCCAAGAGCCCACTAACACGAGCATGCTGCGAACCGTGACTTAGAGAGTGGTAAAAGCCCGTGACACAGAGAAGAGACAGAGGGCTATGTTGGGACGTCCCAGGGTACTTTGTTTAGTGGCCCCAGACCACTTAGGCCACCCTCAAGGCCTATGTCCTGGAGAATGAAGACAAGGGCTAACCAGAGAGTTGATGACAGCCTGCAGGAAAGGAGAGAATGGAAGACAGAAGGTCCAATACCCTGGGCTTGGGTGCAGAATCTGTTCAGCCACAGCCTCTGCAGGGCTAGTAGGGGTCCTGACTGTTCCATCTATTCTGCCTGATGCTACCACTACTATGCCCTACTTCCAGATAGTAAATACCCTATTAAATCCCAAGCTAGAGACACAGGGGGCAACGGCTGACAGTTCCCTCTGGCCTACCTTCTGCATCTACGTGGTTGGTGTCAAATGTCACATTATGGTAATTATGTAGAACACGGATTGTGTTATTGAATTCAAGGAGCCATTGAACCTGGAAAGGAATTGGCAGAGGACTCAGCCTGACTGGCAGGTTGAGCAGAGGCCTAGAAGTAAAGCTCCAGAGAACAAATCTAAGCTGGAACCCAGGGTTGGAGGAAGAAGAAAGTAATGGAGAGAGTAGCAGTGGGGTTGTCTGTGACATCTGTGGAACACTCAGTATGAACCAGGCTCTGTGCTAGGCATAACTCAGATCATCTCATTTAAATCTTACTACAGCCCTGTGGGGCAGAGATATTATCTTCACTTTACTAAAAGGCAATAGAAACACTAGAGGTGCAGAAGTTTCCTCCAAGTCAAGCAGCTGAAAAAGGTGGAGCTAGAATCCTAATTTCTGGTTCCAGGATTTCAGGGTTCACTCAGATGGCTTTTTTGATAGGTTTGTGCCCTCCTTCTGCCCCTTTCCCCCTTTCTTTGTTCGCTTGCCCCTCCAGGGCCTCACTGTCCAGCTGAAGGTCTCAAGGAGCTGAGCGGGGCGGGATACAGGGGTGTCCTGAGCACTCCCCATCCTCACCGTGATGGGGCCCACAGTGCTGGAGTTGTACTGAGCAGCAAAGGCAATGAAGTTGGTGGCATTGGCTGCGGGGGTCTGGGCAGTGCGGCCCTGCAGCAGGAAGGAGGAGTTTTCATCTGAGGCCCGGGCCAGCAGGAAGTCCCCCAGCCCATTGAAGGTGTAACTGGCATCATCGAAGGTGACGATGTGGGGATCCCCAAATGTCCAGGCTGAAGAAAAGGAGGTAATGCATTAGCAAAGCAGGGCCAGAGACTCAATATTACCCACCTGGCAGGGCACCTGCCCTAGCAGGCCAAGCCTGGGCACATATTCATGGGATATAGAACCTACTAGAAAGCCTTTCATGCTCGGGTTCCCCTTTTTATCTATTCTCCAGTGCCATCAGTCTCACCCTAGAATTGTCCCCACTCCCCTGTGGCCACAGAGCTGCCCCAGGAAGCTGGCCTTCTGCCAGTGCAGATTCCATGTCCCACAAGAGGTCAAGAGGCTCCTTCCCCTGATGCTTAGCCTTGGCCCTGGCACTCACCGGGTCGTGGAGGTCTGTACCCAGCACAGCTGATGCGGGGTTGCCTTTGCCAGTACAGGTCACAGAGGAAAGGCTTGTCATTCCAGCGGCAGCACCAGTTCTGTGGCTCCAGCTCCTGGTCTATGGAGAGAAGCAGGAGTTGAGGCAAGGGGCAGAAGTTCTGGAAAACTAGCAGGAAGGTTTAGGTTTGGTAGGGCAAGATGGCATTGGTAGGCAAAGGCATGACTCTGTGTGTGTGTGTGTGTGTGTGTGTGTGTGTGTGTGTGTGTGTGTGTGTGTGTGTGTGTGTGTGTGTGTGTGTGTGCATTCACGTATGCTGGTACTCAGGCTTAGAACCTGGAGTCTGGGGGCTGTCCCTCAGCTTTTTGACTCAAGGCTGGAGCTCAACCAGTTGAGTCACACCTCCATTTCTAACTTTCAGGCCTAGGCTAGCTTTGAACCATGAACCTCAGATCTCAGCTTCCTGAGTATCTAGAATTATAGGTGTGAACCACTGGTACCCAGCTAAAAGTATGACTTTGGAATCAGCCACAGTACAGGTCACATCTGGAGCAGGTGGTGGATGGTTAGATGCAAGCTGCTTCATACACCCCTGTGAACCTCTGTGGGGAGCTGGCTCTAACTCTTCTCCCCAGGTAGCCTGCCGGTGTAGGCCCTGAGAGGCGTGGTCAGATTGGATGCTCTCCCCTTGCCTGAAAAGATGTCCCCACTCCAGGCTCCAGTCATAAGTTGATGGAACATCAGGTGGCAGCTGATGGAAGCTTCCTGTTTTCCCAGAATCATGGAATTAGGGCAAGAGGGAAGGAGCTGGGAAGGAATGGGGAAGGAATGGGGATGGGAAGCAGAGAATCCCAGGCTTGGCTTGGAAGAGCCGTGGGCTCAAGGGCAGGTAGAGGAAAGTCCTTGTGGACACCTACCAAAGTGCCAATGACTCTGCAGGCTCCAGCCTTCTCGGAACTCTCCCCAGGGCCCATAGCTGCAGCACACACCCCCTCGCCAAGAGGAGAAACTACATAGCTTCCTGCTGTTGGAGTCCCACCAACCTGCAAAGGGAAAATGTCCTCAGGCCCAGGCTGCAGAGCCTGTGGTAGGGTGGGGGAGGGGCATGGGGGTGTTTCTAGGAAAAGCCAAGGCAGAACATGTATGAGCCAAAGGGATGGCGGGTAGACTTGGGAGCAATCAGAAGGAGATGTCACCTGTGCGGATGGGCTGGAATCGTAAGTCCCACTGTCCCTGCTGCCAGGAGCAAGGGCAGGAGATGCGACTCCAGCCACAGCTGGGCCTCTGAGGCTGATGTAACCACATCAGGCACTTGAGCCGGAAGTTGGGCCTTTCTTCCCTGTGGAGCCTGTAAACCTGCAGCCCCTGGAGACCTGGAGAAGCAAGAGAAGCAGAGTTACTCCAGGGTTAGGGCCACACATTCTGCCTCAGCTTTAGTCTTAAGGCTGCACCCCCTAGGCCACTCCCTGCCTCTGAGTAGCTTTTCCTAGGAGGGGGGCCCGGTGAATCTTCAAATCTTGGATTACAAAACCATGCTCTGGGACAGCTGTGGCATAGGGAGACCTCTCCTCAATCCACCTCAGGGCTTCCCCTGGCTTCCCCTCCTGTGTTCTCCCTCGAAGCTTCAGTAACTTCAAATTCCTCTAAATCATTCCTTCTCATGCACCCTAAATCTTAGGGACATACCAAGTATCAAGTCACGCAATCAGGTACACAACCTGCATGCTTCACCTTCTCTCTCCCTCAGCACAGACGCTTCAGTGGCCAACCAACTCTGACTCAGTCCAGGGGCCAGCTAGGGGCCACAGAGGAGTTGGCATGTGAAGGTAGGGGGGCTTGCTCCAACCCCAAGAGGGTGAGGGAGCCTCCTCTGGGCCTAGATGCCATCTTTGCCAGGGAGAAGTTACTGGAAGAAACCTTGAAGGAGGTATACATTTTAGACCTTTAATTTATTGGAAGTTACTACCCAGAAGCAGGATGAAAAGAGTGTCCAGAGGGACATGGTATGGTAGAATATTTTTTAAAAACACATTTTTTTTCAAAGAAACAATCGTTATGACCAAAATTTGTTCAGTTTTTGAGACGAATAATTATTTGCATTAATCTGTCTAGATACCTCCTCCATGACTGCAGACAATAAGGAGAAGCAGAGTCAAATATTCTTCCCTAATGCACGTGCGTGTGTGCATACACACACACACACACACACACACACACACACAATCATACAGTGCATCTAGGTTACAAGCAGATGCATTTTAATAGCAAGGCCTGGTAGTAACAGGTCAACTTGAGGAACCTAAGCAACTCCATTTCACTTAAGACCGCCCCCCATCTCAGTTCTGCAACTTAACCCTTGACCCACTTCAGCCCCAATGCTAGGATTTAGGACAGCAAGCCTTGCACAAACAATTCTCGGAACCACAGATGGTGTTTTCTCAAGATAGTATGTCAAGGTATCTGCAATTCCAGAACAGCCCCTCTTGGGGTCTGGTGACCATGATCTAAACCAGATAACCTGCAGTTTAGCACCTATCCTCTTGAGACTCCCCTGTGGTGCAAGCCAACCAGTTTAAAGTATGTCACCCCCTTGATCTAACCAACAACTTGTTTCTGGTCCTTTCCCGCTTTGTAGTGCGCCAATCATACTATAGAGTTGTTTTATAATTTTCCTGCAGTTTGTAGTCATTTGTTACAAGAAGTTATGATGTGTGCAAAGCCTCTGCCTTCCCTAAAAAATGTATAAAAAGTGCTGTAACCCTGGGCTCGGGGCCTCTCAGCGTCATGGGCTGCTGCCATGTATATGGGGTGGGGGGGAACCAAGCTCGAGCTTGCAATTAAGACTCCTTTGCTTTTACATTGGTGATGGTCTCTGGTGGTCTTTTGGGTAAGGATTTCTGAATTCGGCTTTACAAACTCCCTGCCCAAGATAGCATCTGCTGTAACTGATCTTAGCCTATGTTTCTGATTTTTAAAAGTCTATTCCCAAACAAATAGAATCTGGTTTACATGGCAGATAACAATCCAACACATTCTTTGCTCCATCATATTTTGGAAATTAATTTCTTTCCTTTTAGAGTCTGTAATATTGCAGTGAGATGTGGAAAAGGCACTGTGCATCGCCTCTGGGTGGGAAAGGTGCTTGTTAGCTTTGCCACAATGAAAGCTGTGTGAGAGAAAATTTAGTTGGTCTTTTTCCTTTTTCTTTGCTTTTGTGGAACATCTAGAGTAGATGTTCCATAAGCCTTGACCAAATGAATGTTAGACTTCAGGAGCTCTTTTTCAGTACATTCCCCTACAGAATCGTCTGGGCTCTCATTCCAGCTTTCAGGACAATCGCATCCCTTGTCCTGACTGCCCAATCCTACCTCCGCCTCCATTATTCCAGAGGCCCCAAGCGACAGACCTCCTGTGTTCGGCTCCTGTGATTGAGGAGGCTGTGCTGTGGTTATGGCTATGAGAGGTACTAGTTGCTTCCCAAGCCAGTCTAGGTCTGGAGAGTACCTGTAGGTGGTCAGCCCATGCAGGATGCCCTTCAGGGTGGTGGAGAGGTTAGGGGGCTGTCTGTGAGGACTGTCGTGACATACGGAGAGGCAGTGCACGTGTGACAGATGACATTCATTTTTTTTTTTTACCTAATTTGGGATCCAGGAATTGGTCTGGACGGTACTTCTTCCACACAGGCTGGGACATCAATGGGCTGTTTTCAAAATACCCATCTCCACTGCAGGCAAAGGGAAGACATTTAGACTTCTCTGTGTCACACACAGGCTCTTAGCTGGAAGTAACTCATTCAGCTTGTCAGGCCGCTAGCATTCAGCCCAGCTAGTCTGCAGTCAGTGGGGGCAGCCTGCTACTCAATGGGTCAGTTGGGCGTCCAGCCTGGTCCCAGGACTAAGGATGAGAGGAGAGGGAACAAGGGGCAAGGGTAGAAAGCCCCTGCCTTGGGGCTAGGAAGGTGGCTCAGTGGTAGAGCGCTTGCCTCATATGCATGAGGACCTGGGTTTGATTCCTCAGCACCACATAAACAGAAAAAAGCAGAAATGGCACTGTGGCTCAAGTGGTAGAGCACTAGCCTTTGGCTAAAGAGCTGAGGGACAGTGCCCAGGCCCAGGGTTCAAGCCCCCCAACTGACAAAAAAAAAAAAAAGGCTCTGCCTTGTTTTATTATTGATGATCGCAAGAAACTGGCAGACTCCTTGGTCATGGATGGGATAAGTATGTATAAAACAACAGAGTTCAGGCCTCCTTCCTGTTTCTCTTAACTAGGAAAGGAGAGGGACACTGTAGAAGACAGAATGTTGCAATGACTCAGAGCTATAGAATTCTATAGCTCTTATAGAATTAGGCAGTCTTGGATTCAACTACACATTGCAACATTTACTCGGTGGCCAGCTGGGGCAAGTTATTTTACCTCCCTTATTCTTGGTTCTCATATCTGAAAGAGATTAAAGTAGCTTCTACCTGAGAGATGTGAGGATTTAATGCAGTAACATCTGTGAATCCCTCAGAACCAAGCAGGGACCTATATGAAGGAGCTACCACGTATACCTTCCTCACTGTGGGTCCAGGATGGAAGAGAGCCTGCAGCAGTAGCCCTGGGTGGGGGTGGGGGTGCAACTGGACTCTCTGTGAGTGAGTGTCACAGGACAGCACCTCCTGAGTTTTGCTCCTTTGTAACACAGGCTATTTACACACAGATGAATGACACTTGTGTTAGGTGTTCTCAGGTTGATGTGAATTTTTTTTGTCAGTTGTAGGACTTGAATGCTGGCCCTGGGCACTATTCCTGAGCTCTTTCACTCATGGCTAGCACTCTGTCACTTTGAGTAACAGCTCTACTTCCAGTTTTTGAGTGGTTAATTGGAGATATGAGTCTTATAGGGACTTTTCTGCTTGGGCTGACTTAGAACTGCGATCCTCAGATTTCAGCCTTCTGAGTAGCCAGATTACAGTGTGAGCTACCAGCAACCTGCTGATGTGAAATTTCTAGCTACCTAGGCAATTCCACAGCACATCAAAAAGCAAGTAATGTAATTATAGGGCAACCTGAACACATACTACCATGAGAGAAAACCATTTGCAGCAATTAGCAGTAACAAATGACCTTCATACACTGATTACCATACATGACACATTTGGTTGGGAACAGTTGTCTCAGAGACTGAAGCCTGTGGGAACCCTCTAGACACCATCTGCAGCCCCTTCCTTCTGCCTTCCCATATCTATGCTACAGGGTGTCCCTGGGTAGATGGCTAATTCTCAGGAATCAAGAAGGCAGATTTCAGCCTCAAATGTCTGAGTTCAAATCCTTGCCCTCTTCATCATTTCCTAACTCTGAGTTGGAACAAATTATGTATTTACCGCTAGAGTTTCTTTTTTTAAATTTATTTAATTATTTTTTTATTGTGAAAATACTGTACAGAGGGGTTACAATTACATGGGCAAGATAATGAGTACATTTCTTACCAAGCATTGTGGCCTCCTCCTTTGTTTCCCCTTCCCATCCCTTCCCAGCCTCCCTAGAGTTTCTTATCTGCAGAATGAGGCTCATAAAAATAATATCTACCTCTTGGGTATTTATGATAAGCAATGAGATGATGTAGATAAAGTATTTAGCATAATAAAGTTGGCTGTTATTATTCTGGTGTTTGAGATACCAAAAGGAGTCAACTAATGTCAATGGAAATGAGGGAAGTTGAGGTTGAATTACTACAGTGCCTAGGGATTGGGACAGGAAAGATGGCAGGATAGATGGGATCTTTCCATTGGAAACAGCAAGGCGAGAGGCTCTGTGGGAACTGGGGTCAGTGTGAGTCATCTCATCACAAGGCATATATGCCTTGATCCCAGGATGGGAGTAAGTGTAGCCACTTGTATTCTATGACCTCCCTCCCCGTTCTCTGGCGCCCCTGTCCTACCTGGAAAACCCCATGACAACCGAGCTGTGCGGGCGCTGGGTCACGTGCCATTGCATCCCACCTCTCTGGTAGAGAAACAGGGCATAGGACCTGCTGCCATCTGTGGTGAGGATGGCCTGGTAGGTGTTGGTCTGGGGATTGATGGGAGACAAAGATAATGATGCCTATGAGAAGCCTGGGTTCTCCTCCCTGGTGTCCCATACCTAGCCCACACCCCTGGCCTGACACACACATCACGTGGATTAAAAACACAGGAAAATGTTCAGATGGTTTGAGCATCCATGTGGTGTGAAAGCATTTACCATGGTGTATTTGCCTTCTTTGTGACTCTGGTTCCACAGAGAGGAGATGAAAGGCTCTGGGCTACATCCCAGTTAGGAGAGTTTATAAGAGAAAGCTACAGGAGCCTGAGCGAGTAGGCAAGACACCAGGGCTGGTAGCTTCCTGGGTTATCTTGGAGATTCAAATGTCCCCTGGAAGACCCACTGGAGGTGAGACTGGGGCCCTTTGGAGGCACAGGCCTTGTCCAAAGTAAGTTATTTATTTGCTGAGAGATTGAACAAGTGACTTTACATAAGAATTTGGTGCTTTAAGGGCTGGAGGTACTTAGAAAGAATTACGGAGATTGTGTGGCACCCCATTCCCCTCAGGTGATACTGTGTTTAAGGGTAGAGTTGGGGGGAGCTCGCTTTGTCATTTGCTAGCTGAATAACAGAAAATTGTAATCTTTGCTAACCACTGCTTTCCTCACCTCTAAAATGTGCATAAAAGTAGGAGGTTGAGCCATGCTATAGCTCAGCTATAATTTCATTGTGTCACTCTTCCTTGTTTGGAGGTTTATTTGTTTGGAGGCTTGATTTTCCACATGGTGGTATTAAGAAGTGATGGAACCTTTAAGAGGTGGAGCCTAGTGAGATGTCTTTAGGTCATTGGAGCCGGCAGACAATTGAGTAACTCTTTGTGTTCTCCCAGTACAATTATTATAGAAGAAGCAAGCCTGGCCCCAGACATCCTCCCTGTTCCTGGTTCAATATGTAATTACTGCACACACTCCCATGAGGCAATGCAGACTGAGAGTCCGCACCATGCTGTTTGGACTTTTGGCCTACAGAACTGTGAACTAAATAAAACTCGTAAGTGGCCTGTGTCTGGTGTTTTGTTACAGCAATAAAATCTGACTAATATAACTCATATGAAATTACCAATATCCAGACATTTTTTTTTGGGGGGGGAAGCCATTTCCTATGTGTCTGAGCTGCTGTGAGTTTATGTTTGTGAGGCAGGCCTGGCACCATGTTCGAATGGTAATGCTGGGGTGGAGGTAAGGGTAGGATGGTGTTGCTCTGATTAGCAATCTTTCCTCAAGACAGAAGGGATTCAGGAGACAAGCTCTTATCTAGAATTCTAGGATGTCTAACCCCTAGATAACTCACTGGGCTCTATCCATGGTCCACTCACCCCAATGGTCCACTGGGCAGGATAGGCAGGTACTTTGACCCATGTAATCTTTAGGGTCCACTTGGCATTGTAGTCCCAGGAATCTGTGAACTGTTTAATCCAAGTGTCCACCTGCCTAACGAGTGAGTTATATTCACCATAGAGTGTCTCATATTCCTAGGAAACAGAAGACAGATAAAAGCAAGGTAGGACTCATTCAACACCCCTGGGAGCCCCGCCCCCTCCCACTTTCTGCTTAAGAATCCTGTTCATATTAGTGTATCATGCCACCTGTCCCTCCCTGTCTCAGGCCTGAGCCTTTCCAATGAGCTCTTCTCATTTAAGATCAGTTAAAATTTGAGCTACAAGGAAGCCTACATTCTGTGGACTAGAGGGTCCCAGCCCAGAATTCCCAGTTCTCTGGACTTAACTGTTGCATCTCTTAGCTCAAACTGACTAAAGATAGTGTGACCACATGTATCTATTTACCTTCCCATGTCTGACTTGCAACACAGTTGGGGACTGGCAGCTGGTTCTCCATTGTTGGAGACTCTATAGTGCCTTGTCCATGGTAAGGACTCAAACCACATTTGCTGCATTGGCTGGAATCATCCCATTCAATCCAGGAGCACCAAAGTGTTCTAAATCTATCTAATTCAGAAGTCTGAATTAGGATAGATCCTGTATAACCTCATTTTTAAATCAAGCACTGAATTACCACACCCATCTTTTTCACCTGCAGGTCTTCATACAGTTGGGTTGAGGTATTTTTGAGTCTCTTTGATTCTCTCCCTTCCCCATATTTAAGCCTCAGTCCCTGCTCACATGAGTCTATGCTGTAATGATAACATCTCCAATGTAAACACCCACCTGGTAAAATATGGTCCCTCTGTGGTTGGAAAAATCAGCATCATCCCAGAATGGAGCCACCATGGCTACAGTGTCCCATCTCGTGAAGCCTCGTGACGGTGGATTGGGGTAGGAGAAGATATGGTAGTCTGACTCTGGGAAAATGATCTGGCCATTATCTGTGAACTGAGTGTAAGGTTCTGGTTTAGCATTCAAGGAGGAAGAAGGCGATTAAAAGTTCTCGCATAGAACCTATTCTTCAAAAGTGCTCCCCCTGTGGGCTCCTCTGAGAAGAAGCTTAGAAATGCCTCATCTGCTTTTCTGCCCTCCCTAAGGGAAAGCGCTTTACCTAGCAACCCTGCTTTCTTCCCCCCTCAGCATTCCTCACACCTGTCCACAGGTGATAGTGGTATCCTGCCTTAGTGGCAAAGCTCTGATCATAACCTTGCCCTTCCCCATTCTAAAGCTTGGAACACCTGTGGGGGGGAAGGGGCGGGAGGAGGGGAACTAAAGGAATTTATAGCCTCATATCTTCACTGTGTTGTCCTCTCATTGTGTGTCCTGAGTCCCTTCCCTGAGCACAACAAAGACTGGTTTCCCATTCCAAGTCCACTCTTGGACATATGGACCAGAGAATCAGAAAGTAACCACAGAAAAATTGGAAGAGCACAAACCAGTCAGATTTCCCAAGTAATCTTCTTAGCCAGAACAAAGCTCCATGAAAACAGGTGCGATACTGAGCGCTGATTTCTTTTCACTGGGGTGAGGACATTTTTGTCCACACAGAGTAGGAAATTTAATCTTGTTTTCTCTTTTTCTTTTTTTTTTTTGGGGGGGGGGGGGGTTTGGTCGTGGGGCCTGAACTCTGGGCCTGGGCGCTGCTGCCCCTTAGCTCTTCAGCCCAAGGCTAGCACTCTACTACTTGAGCCACAGCACCACTTCTGGCTTTTTTCTTTTTGCTTATGTGGTGCTGAGGAATCGAACCCAGGGCCTCAGGCATGCAAGGCAAGCACTCTACCACTGAGCCACCTTCCCAGCCCCCTCTCTTTTTCTTAAATAGAGCCCTAACATTAAAGAAGGCTGTAGCCAGGCACAGTGGCACAAGTCTACTCCTAGCTACTTGGGAGGCTGAGATTGGAGGAATCACAGACTAGCCTGGCCATAAAAGTCCAAGAGACTCCATCTTAGCAAATATCTTGGTGCTGTGTTGTGTGCCTGTTATTTCTGGCTACCAGAAAGCACAATGGCTGAGAAGAAGCACAAGTGGGCCCAGGATAGCACCAGTATAAAAGGAGGCTCTGCCTGAAAAATAACCAATGTAAGAAGGGACTGGAGGTATGGTTCAAGTAGTAGAACACCTGCCTAGCATACAAGGTCCTAAGTTTAATTTTTTTTAATGTCTGCAAAGGTAAAGGTGATGGTTAATGAAAATTGCTTCCATCTTTGTTAGAGGGCTATCTCAAAGCTAGACAGGAAAGCAGGGCTAAAGAACCCAGGCCCTGCCACTTGGGGACAGTTCAAGACTCACATAGAAGGAATCCCGCAGGGAGGAACCAAATGGGAAGCCAATCTGGAGCTTGAAGAGCCTGGAGGTAATGTCCACACCTCTGACAAACAATGGCAGGTCTCCAGCGCTTGATCCATAGGGGAAGAGAGAAATTCCTGGGCCAGTGCAAAGAAGAGTATCAAGTCTCTGTGTGCCTTGACCTTCTTTCAGGCTCAGAAGTCCTCCAGAGAGCTTCCCAAGCTGCCCCTCGTCCTGTTCCTCTGTTCCTCAAGCTAACCAGTAGGCCTTGGCTGGGAGCCATCAAGACTCTTCTCTCTGCCTCTGAATTTGCATGAACACATCTTTTATTCCATCAACTGGTCTTCTTATTGCCTAGTTTGGATCGAAACTATTCTGCATCCATTTTGATGGCAGAATCTTTTTAAGAATTAAAAACAAAATGTGGAAATAGTGAAGATTAGTAGTCAAAAGACCTTTTCATAGACGGGGACTTCTCTAAGATGGTATGTCTCCATATAAATTTAAAGAATCCTTAGAATTTGTCCTATGAGCCCCTCGAGGTTGTCGGGCTCCAGTTGAAGAAAGCTTGTCTTTTGAATATTCCTCGAATGGGTCTCACTCCATACCGGCAGCTCCTGACTCATTGGAGCCCTGGCCTGGTCCCCGTTGGAGAAAATTCCAAGCAAGCACGGAGCCTTTCCACTGCTCTTCTCTAATCTCCACAGGCAGCACAGTGCCATCACAAAATGTAAATCTACTGTGTCCTCCTTGGTTCTCCTTACTATAGCATCCTCCCACACACAAGCCTCCATCCCACGACTCTTACCTTGCCCAGCAACCCCAAATGTTTTGAGAATCTCTTTCCCATGCAACACACGGACTGCTTTGTACCTTCATGCCTTTCATCCAATTGCTTAGACTCTCCTCCCTACTTGAGGTGTTACCCTGGCCCCAGATCATCTCTGCTCTTGCCAGAAAGCTTCCTGTTCACCATAAACCCATTCCTACACACTTTAGAGGCTTTCCATTGTAACTAGTGTGTGGGCCTTGCACCCAAAGGACAATTGGTCTTCCCCTTGAGAAATGGCATCATGACCATTTCCCAATTTCAGATCTTAGTCTGGTGCTATGCACAGAGCTTCCCTAAGCACCCAACTCTGATGCTATCTCGCTGCTTCTGTAAAGCCTTCTGATTCCAGAGAGCACAGACCTTGAATGAGCAGACTGATATTGAACATTCTGTTATATTACACACATACCTTTTTTTTTTTTTTGCCAGTCCCCTGTTGTTGAACTCAGGGTCTAAACAGTATCCCTGAGCTTCTTTTGCTCAAGGTTAGCACTCTACCACTTGAGCCACAGCACTACTTCTAGCTTTTTCTGTTTATATGGTACTGAGGAATGGAACCTAGGGCTTCATGCATGCTAGGAATGCTAAGCCACATTCCCAGACCAACATATTTCGCCGCCCCCCCCCCCCCCACACACACACAAAGAAATATCAGAGCCAAGTGCTGGTGACTTGTGCCTGTAAATCCTAGCTACTCAGGAGGCTGATATCTGAGGATCATGGTTCAAAGCCAGCCCAGGCAAGAAGTCTGTGAGACTCTTATCTCCATTTAACCACCAGGAAACCAGAAATGGTACTGTGGCTCAAAGTGGTAGAGCGCTATCCTGAAGCAAAAGAACTCAGGGACTGCAGCCAGGCCCCTGAGTTCAAGCCTCATGACCTAAGGGGGGGGGGGAAACAGAAATATGGGGGGCAACTGAATTTCTCTTGGCCCAAATGAGGGCAGTAGAGGTACCCAGAGAACCATTTCCCTTAATTGTACACAAGGACCTTCCTAGAAAATCTAATCCACTACAACTTCTATGTCTAGTTAACTGCAGGATAGAGAGGCCCCAACTTAATAGCATCACTTACCTCCTAAGGGCTGGGTGGGGAGACGGGGAGCTGTTGAGCTGGAGCCTGTGGAAGCACTGGCAGTAGAGATGGTGAGTGTGGGAGGAGATGTGGAGGGTGGTGAGGGACTGCATGGCCTCAGGGTATTTGTCACTGCTTCTGGACACGGAGGGAAAGAAGACATGAGTTAAAACTATTGCGAGCAGCAGAATCATGACTCAGAAAATTAGGATCTAGAAATGAAAGTTCCAAGCTTTCTCCTCTGAGCTCACCCAAAAATCCTATCTACATGAGCATTTTTAAGTTACCCAATAAAAGATGGAGAGATACTGAAAGTATACCACTAATCATTGTATCCTCCTGTGACCCTGGACATAGCCCCTGCTGATACCACTAGACAGTTGGTTCACCTGGAAAAGCAGTCCCCAGAGAAACAGTCTCTGTCAGAGTGTGTCCACTTGGAGAAGATGAAACGGTTGACGTGGTCACCTGGGGGAGGATGCTTATTTGAGATTGGCTGGTGGCCACCATGCTTGGAGTTTGGGTTATCTGAGAAAATGCAGTTGATTCCTGAGTAGAGGTACTGAGTGTTAGTCTTGATGATTGTCCACTTGACACAGGTGTCCTGGAGAATGCCACAGTGACTGGAGTAAAACTTCCAGATACCTGTGATGATGATGTGTCCGATATGTTCCCTGGAGTGGATTCTGAGGATCTTGTCATGGTAAAGACCTCTGACACTGGTGAGGATGATGGGGTAATTATGCTACCTGTAGGGAGAGATTTCTGCAAAATTGTCTCTGTCGAAGTGTGTCCACTTCTGAAGGATGAAAGAGTTAAGGTAGTCATTTGAGACTGGGTGGTGGATTCCAACTTCTGAGTCTGGGAGTTCTGAGAAAATGAGTCAGATTCCTGAGTGGAGGCAATGGGGCTGGGTCCTCCTGATTGTCCACTTGACACAGGTGTCCTAGAAACTCCCGTAGTGACTGGAGTAAAGCTCACAGATATTTGTGGTGGTGATGTGTCCCCAGGATTTCCTGGAGTGGAGTCTGGGGAGGTTGTCACGCTGACCACCTCTGATGTTGTTGAAGGTGTGGTGCTTACACTGGAAGGGCTTGACGTGGTTATTTCACCTTTAGGGGATGTCCCAGGAGAAACTGTATCTGTCAGAGTGTGGCCAATTTTGGAGGATGAGTGAGGTGAGGAGGTCTCCTCTAGGAGGGTACTCATTTGAGATTGACGGGTGGTCATGCTGTGCGTCTGGGTGTTCTGGGAAAGTGAAAATGATTCCTGAGTGGAGGTGCTGGATATTGGCACTGTTGACAGTTCATTTGGCACAGGTGTTGTTGAGACTCGGTTGGGGACTGAAGTGAGACTACCAGCAGCATGTGGCGATGCTGTGTCCCTTGCGTTTCCTAGGGTGAAGCCTGTGGTGGTTGTCATGGAGTTGTTGATACTAGAAAGAGATGAGCTAGCTGTTTCAGCTAGAGAGGATGTTCCAGGAGAAACTGTCTCTGTCTGAGGTTGACCACTTGTGGAGGACAAGGGAGCTGAGTTGGCCCCCTGTGTGTGGGTACTCAATTGAGACTGACTGGTGGGCTCTGGACCCTGTTCTGTGGTGTTCTGAGAAAATGAGGCTGATTCCTGAGTGGAGGCAATGGAGCTTGGTCCCATTGGTAGTCCAGTTGGCACAGGTGTTGTTGAGACTCCTGTGGTTACTGGAGAAAGACTTGTAGATACTTGTGGTAGTGATGAGTCCCCCCTATTTCCTGGAGTGGAGTCTGGGGAGATTGTCACGCTGACCACCTCTGATGTTGTTGAGGGTGTGGTGCTTACACTGGAAGGGCTTGAGGTGGTTATATCACCTTCAGGGGATGGCACAAGAGAAACACTCTCTGTCAGAGTGTGGCCAATTTTGGAGGATGAGTGGGGTGAGGAGGTCCCCTCTATGAGCGTACTCATTTGAGATTGACGGGTGGTCATGCTGTGCGTCTGGGTGTTCTGAGAAAGTGAAGATGATTCCTGAGTGGAGGTGCTGGATATTGGTACTGTTGACAGTCCATTTGGCACAGGTGTTGTTGAGACTCCTGTCTTTACTAGAGTAAGACTTGTAGATACTTGTGGTAGTGATGAGTCCCCCGTGTTTCCTGGAGTGGAGTCTGGGGAGATTGTCACGCTCACCACCTCTGATGTTGTTGAGGGTGTGGTGCTTATACTGGAAGGGCTTGAGATGGTTATATCACCTTCAGGGGATGTCCCAGGAGAAACAGTCTCTGTCAGAGTGTTACCACTTGTGGAGGATGAGTGAGGTGAGGAGGTCTCCTCTAGGAGAGTACTCATTTGAGATTGACGGGTAGTCATGCTGTGCGTCTGGGTGTTCTGAGAAAGTGAAGATGATTCCTGAGTGGAGGTGCTGGATATTGGTACTGTTGACAGTTCATTTGACACAGGTGTTGTTGAGACTCCGTTGGGGACTGAGGTGAGAGTACCAGCAGCATGTGGCAATGCTGTGTCCCTTGCATTTCCTAGGGTGAAGGCTGTGGGGATTGTCATGGAGTTGTTGATACTAGAAAGAGATGAGCTAGCTGTTTCAGCTAGAGAGGATGTTCCAGGAGAAACTGTCTCTGTCAGAGTCTGACCACTTGTGGAAGACAAGGGAGCTGAGTTGGCCCCCTGTGAGCGGGTACTCAATTGAGAATGACTGGTGGGCTCTGGACCCTGTTCTGTGGTGTTCTGAGAAAATGAGGCTGATTCCTGAGTGGAGGTGCTGGATATTGGTACTGTTGACAGTTCATTTGTTGAGACTCCTGTGGTTACTGGAGTAAGACTTGTAGAGACTTGTGGTTGTGATGAGTCCCCCGTGTTTCCTGGAGTGGAGTCTGGGGAGATTGTCACGCTGACCACCTCTGATGTTGTTGAGGGTGTGGTGCTTACACTGGAAGGGCTTGAGGTGGTTATATCACCTTCAGGGAATGTCACAAAAGAAACAGTCTCTGTCAGAGTGTGGCCAATTTTGGAGGATGAGTGGGGTGAGGAGGTCTCCTCTAGGAGGGTACTCATTTGAGATTGACGGGTGGTCATGCTGTGCATCTGCGTGTTCTGAGAAGGTGAAGATAATTTCTGAGTGGAGGTGCTGGATATTGGCACTGTTGACAGTTCATTTGACACAGGTGTTGTTGAGACTCGGTTGGGGACTGAAGTGAGACTACCAGCAGCATGTGGCGATGCTGTGTCCCTTGTGATTCCTGGGGTGAAGCCTGAGGAAGTTGTCATGGAGTTGTTGATACTAGAAAGAGATGAGCTAGCTGTTTCAGCTAGAGAGGATGTTCCAGGAGAAACTGTCTCTGTCAGAGTCTGACCACTTGTGGAGGACAAGGGAGCTGAGTTGGCCCCCTGTGTGCGGGTACTCAATTGAGACTGACTGGTGGGCTCTGGACCCTGTTCTGTGGTGTTCGGAGAAAATGAGGCTGATTCCTGAGTGGAGGCAATGGAGCTTGGTCCCATTGGTAGTCCATTTGGCACAGGTGTTGTTGAGACTCCTGTGGTTACTGGAGTAAGACTTGTAGAGACTTGTGGTAGTGATGAGTCCCCCGTGTTTCCTGGAGTGGAGTCTGGGGAGATTGTCACGCTGACCACCTCTGATGTTGTTGAGGGTGTGGTGCTTACACTGGAAGGGCTTGAGGTGGTTATATCACCTTCAGGGGATGTCCCAGGAGAAACAGTCTCTGTCAGAGTGTTACCACTTGTGGAGGATGAGTGAGGTGAGGAGGTCTCCTCTAGGAGAGTACTCATTTGAGATTGACGGGTGGTCATGCTGTGCGTCTGGGTGTTCTGAGAAAGTGAAGATGATTCCTGAGTGGAGGTGCTAGATATTGGCACTGTTGACAGTTCATTTGACACAGGTGTTGTTGAGACTCCGTTGGGGACTGAGGTGAGAGTACCAGCAGCATGTGGCGATGCTGTGTCCCTTGCATTTCCTAGGGTGAAGGCTGTGGGGATTGTCATGGAGTTGTTGATACTAGAAAGAGATGAGCTAGCTGTTTCAGCTAGAGAGGATGTTCCAGGAGAAACTGTCTCTGTCAGAGTCTGACCACTTGTGGAGGACAAGGGAGCTGAGTTGGCCCCCTGTGAGCGGGTACTCAATTGAGAATGACTGGTGGGCTCTGGACCCTGTTCTGTGGTGTTCTGAGAAAATGAGGCTGATTCCTGAGTGGAGGCAATGGAGCTGGGTCCCATTGGTAGTCCATTTGGCACAGGTGTTCTTGAGACTCCTGTGGTTACTGGAGTAAGACTTGTAGGTACCTGTGGTTGTGATGAGTCCCCCGTGTTTCCTGGAGTGGAGTCTGGGGAGGTTGTCACGCTGACCACCTCTGATGTTGTTGAGGGTGTGGTGCTTACACTGGAAGGGCTTGAGGTGGTTATATCACCTTCAGGGGATGTCACAAAAGAAACAGTCTCTGTCAGAGTGTGGCCAATTTTGGAGGATGAGTGAGGTGAGGTGGTTGTCTCTAGGAAGGTACTCATTTGAGATTGACGGGTGGTCATGCTGTGCGTCTGGGTGTTCTGAAAAAGTGAAGATGATTCCTGAGTGGAGGCAATGGAACTGGGTCCCATTGGTAGACCATTTGTCACAGGTGTTGTTGAGACTCCTTTGGGGACTGAAGTGAGACTACCAGCAGCATGTGGCAACGTTGTGTCCCTTGTGATTCCTGGGGTGTAGCCTGAGGAAGTTGTCATGGAGTTGTTGATACTAGAAAGAGATGAGCTAGCTGTTTCAGCTAGAGAGGATGTTCCAGGAGAAACTGTCTCAGTCTGAGTCTGACCACTTGGGGAGGATGAAGGAGCTGATTTGGCCCCCTCTGTACGGGTACTCAATTGAGAATGACTGGCGGGCTCTGGACCCTGTTCTGTGGTGTTCTGAGAAAATGAGGCTGATTCCTGAGTGGAGGCAATGGGACTTGGTCTCATTTTTAGTTCACTTGACACAAGTGTCCTTGAGACTCCCATAGTGACTGGAGTATAGCTTGCAGATACGTGGGGTGGTGATGTGTCCTCCATGTTTCCTGGAGTGGAGTCTGTGGAGATTGTCCTGCTGAACACCTCTGATGTTGTTGAGGGTGTGTTGCTTACATTGGAAGGGCTTGAGGTGGTTATTTTCCCTTCAGAAGACATCACAGGAGAAACTGTGTCTGTCAGAGTATTACCACTTGTGGAGGATGAGTGAGGTGAGGTGGTTGTCTCTAGGAGGGTACTCATTTGAGATTGACGGGTGGTCATGCTGTGCGTCTGGGTGTGCTGAGAAAATAAAGAATCTTGAGTAAAGGCGTTGGCTTTGTTTACTGTTGGTCCATTGCTTGAAATAGGCTTTGTTGAGATTTCTGAAGTGACTGTAATGAGACTTCGATATGGTGATGTGTCTCCTGTACCATCTGTGGACGCTGTCTTGCTTGATACTTCTGATGTGGTTGACATTGTATAGCCGCCAGTTGAACCTGAACCAGAAATGGTCACATATTATTTAAATATTAGAGACAAGGTGCAAGAACTTTATGAGACTGAACAGGGTAACTCAGTGATATCAAAGCTTTTGACTCCCATTTATGCATAAGGCACCCCATATAACTTTCATAGATAGTGACATCTATAAGCCTTAATTTACCTAGCCATAAATTCTGCACAAGCCTACTCATAAGTAATGTTATGAAAACAAGCGTCTGCACTTTGCTTCTGGTACAGGTTGTTTCTGAAGGTGCTAATGGAACAGTTGATTCAGTGCACCCTCTCTCTTTTTTTTTTTTTTGTTGGCTGTGGGGCTTGAACTCTGGGCCTGGACGCTGTCCCTCAGCTCTTCAGCTCAAGGCGAGCGCTCTACCACTTGAGCTACAGCGCCACTTCCGGTTTTCTGGTGGTTTATTGGAGATAGGAGTCTCACAGTCTCTCCTGCCCGGGCTGGCTTTGAACCGCGATCCTCAGATCTCAGCCTCCTGAGTAGCTAGGATTACAGGCGTGAGCCATCAGCGCCCGGCATCAGTGCACCCTCTCTTCCGCATGTGCCAACAAATTGTTTGTCTCAGACTTACAACATTGTTTAGGTAATTATGTAATCAAAAGATTAGAACTTAAATTGTACACTCTAGAACTTTTAGTGTCTACTTGTAATCCTAGCTTTAGGGAGGGTGTGAAAGGAAGATAGTGAGTTCAAGGCCAGGCTAGGCTACTTTGGAAGAACCTGTCTCCAAACAGAGTAAAATTTAACTCACTTCTTGCCCTATACACATATTTTTCAAGCACTCACAGGAAATGTTTGACTTTCTGTTTCATAGCTTCCTTTTCATTTCAATCTAGTGCTTACATGCATCATTTTTTCTCATACTCACCTTTTTCTCATTCCTCCCTAACAAAAGTTGGATTTGATTGTACATACCACACATATGTGTGAAAATTTTACTCTGCATGACATTAAAATGTGCAATTCATACTAATAAACATAACTGCAAAGGATTATCAGCACAAGAAGGTGATTTTTCATGATTGGTCAAATTCAAAGTACTCACAGCATGGTAAAATAATAGTCTGCATGCACCCATGGGTGGCTAAGAGTGCTAATGTTCAGGGCCTCGTAGTAAGTCTTGCAATTATGTAGATGAGCCGGTCATATGTGAGAATGTTTTTCAAGTGAAAATATACCATCAGTTTTTCTAAGGAATTTAGAAATAAAATATGCCAGTCTTTCTTTCTATAATCTCCAAATGTTCCTTCCTTTCAAAGAGCCATCAGAGGTCCCAGAAGATGGAGGTGGTTTCCTTCACCATGAGTGATTGATTGTCTTTCTGCATATTAGGGAACCACTGTGCTTTCCACACAGTGCATGGTGGGGGCTAAATGCACCCCCTAAGTCTGCTCTGGGTCAGAGCTTGAGATGCTTGCCTGGAGAGAAACATCTAGAAATAAGCAGAGAGAGGTAGAGGCACAGGATCCTCACCCAAAGGGCACCTGAATAGAGCTTCTAACTGCTCTATAAGGAAATCCCAGAGCTAAGTGTGGTTTGGGGGTACAGCATGTGCCCAGCATGCCTGAGGTCTGGCTTGATCCAAGCACTACCCCTACTTTCAAAAAAAAAACCACCACAAAATCATGAGGTAAACGTTCCTTGGTTCTGCCCATCTTCTTCATGAGGGAAAAGACGAGATTAAACTGGAATGGTGAGGCGACTGTTGCTTCCCACTGTAGCTGAGGATGACAGCCTGAGCCACCACACCGCGCCGTTAGTTCACATGGAGTTTTACACTTTCTGCCAGGCTGGCCTCAAACTGCAACCCTCTGGTCTCTGCCTCCCAAATAACAAGGATTACTGGCTTGAGCCTCTGTGCTGAGCAGTCATGACTATTTTTACGTGAAAAAAAAATTATCTCCCCCCCCCCAAATGTTTAAATACTATATATTTTTTTAAATTTTTATTTATTTATTTTTTTGGCTGTGGGGCCTGAACTCTGGGCCTGGGAGCTGTCCCTGAGCTCTTCAGCTCAAGGCTAGCTCCCTACCACTTGAGCCACAGCGCCATTTCCAGCTTTTTCTGCTTATGTGGTGCTAAGGAATAGAACCCAGGGCCTCATGCATGCAAGGCAAGCAGACTACCACTGAGCCACCTTCCCAGCCCCTAAATACTATATTTTTTTGTTCCAAGTATTCTTCTGTATTTACACTACTAGGTGCCATTCTCTTGAACTTATCTTAAAGGTCTCTGAGTCTAGTCAATCTCATTCAATAACTTCCTTCCATTGATCTCTGAATTTTCTTTTTTTTTCCCCCTTTTTTTATTGTGAAAAGACCATACAAAGGGGTTACAATTACATGGGCAAGGTAATGAGTTCATTTCTTATCAAGCATGGTTGCCTCCTCTTTTGTTTCCCCTTCCCATCCCTTCCCATCTCCCGGTCAGTGAATTTTCTAACCAAAAAGAAAACTATTTTTTTGCATAGGAACTTATTGTTTGGGGCTTTCAAACCATTTGTGGAAGGAGGCTCAAACCTAGGGCCTCTCAAAAGGCAGGCAAGTCTCTACTACGAAGCCACTACCCCAGATCCCTCCAGCTTTCCCTAACATTAGTACTCAAGAAGTTGGGAGGGAAGAAATTCAGAGTAAGAAACTCCTAGGGATGAAGAATTTAGGCTCAAGTACAGTTCTTAGAGGAGACTATAGTCTCTCTCCCCCTCTCCCTCCCTCTCCTTTTCTTCCCCTCCACCCCCATACTGTCCTTGCATTCTCAGTCCAGGTGACTCATCCTCTCCAGTACTGAGATAATAGGTTTGCACCACCACTGCCAGCAACCAGTTTTTTTCTTCTCAAGAGAACTATTTAGATGTTTAAGTGAGAGTGATTATGAGTCAATTTATTTTTTAATAAAAAGGAAGTGACTCACTGACAAGTTTGTGTACTCTATTAATAGTAAGTACTACCTGGGGACACATTTCTAAACTGAAGTGGACTCAGGCAGTGACTGAACTGCAGAGATGGACCATGAGGTTCTTAAATCCCCTCCTTAATCTAACTGGTAGAGGGCTTGGAACTCTAGGCTTACTCTCTCCTTTATAAAATTGCCATCCTTTTTCCAAATAAGGTTTAGATTAAGAAGTATACTCCTTGCAATTTTGATAAACTTGCTTCTTATTCCTAAGAACATAATATTGAACATTGCTCTGTCATCAGGCTTTGAGTCTTCACAGAAGCTAGCTCCATGGTGAACTTCCTAAACCTACAGGTTCTCAGCCACTAACACTCAGAGCCTGTGACCCCTCTTTCGGAACCAATATTGGCAGCAAAAGTTTCATGAAAGCATAGAGTCTTTTGGTGGTGGTGGTGGTGGTGGTTGTAGGGCCTGAACTCTGGGCCTGGGAGCTGTCCCTCAGCTCTTCAGATCAAGGCTAGCACTCTACCATTTGAGCCACAGCGCCACTTCCAGCTTTTTCTGCTTATTTGGTACTGAGGAATCGAATCCAGGGCCTCATGCATGCAAGGCAAGCGCTCTACCACTGAGCCACCTTCCCTGCCCCACATAGAGCCATTTTTAAAGTAAAAGTTTATATTTGTTTAGTAGACGCTTTCCAATGCAGGGCTGGGATCAGAAGAAAGAAAAAGAAACACTCAGGAATGAGGAAGTTGAACTATAATGTTAAATCAATACCCTTAGAGAATTTGCTGTACTTCAGATGTAGTTTTGCTTTGTTTTGTTGTTGTTGTTTCTTTGGTTGGCTCTTGGCAATACTGGAGTTCAAAATCAGGGTCTTGTGATTAAGTGCCCTCCTACTTACATAAACCATACTTCCAGCTTTGCTTTGTTTTTTGGGGTTTTTTGATAGGGCTTCCACTTTTGCCGAGGCTAGTCTCAGACCTCCATCCTTT